AGTTTGAGTGAACACGGATGAGCGCCCCACCAAGTTCCAGACAAACATCGAAGAATATTTAATAATCGTTCACATCTTAAAGTAATGTATTCGCAATGGGGAAGTCCACTTAGTTTTGAATCTAGTATTACTCCTAAAAATTTGCTTTGACTTTTTACAGGTAAAAGACAATTATTATAATATATAGAAATAGGAGGAGGCATACGCATTCTGGAGAATAAAACTGCATTGCTTTTGTTAAGTGACAACTGCAATGCATTCTGATCAAACCAAAGCTTTAGATATTTTAATGCAGATGTCAAATTCAAACAGCATTTTTGAACAGATTTGTCTATGGCATAAAAAAGCAGATCGTCTGCATATTGTAAAATAAAAACATTATTATTCGTATTACTTAATACAGCCTTTTCTAAATCATAAGTGTATAGGTTGTATAATAAGGGGCTAAGAACTGAACCTTGTGGGAGTCCTTTCCATACTACTCTAGATGAGATTCCAGTGTCATCAGAATTTATAATAATAGTTCTTTCAGTAAGAATATTAATTATAAAAGTTGACAGTCTAACTGGAATATGTAATATATCAAGTTTCTGCTTAAGTATTGGCAAAGAAACATTATCATAAGCAGATTCTATGTCTAAAAAGGTTGCAAGTACAGAGTCATTTCTGGAAAAGACTAAACGAATATCCGTTATAAACAAACTTAAACTATCAAGAGTACATTTCCCTCTTCTAAAGCCATATTGACTATCTGATAAATAGTGGTTACTTTCAATATACCATTCCAGACAGTTTTTGATCAGATGTTCTGACAGTTTAAGCAGAACTGAAGATAGCGCTAAAGGACGGTAGGAAGCAATGTCAGATGGAGTTTTGTCAGGTTTTAGAATGGGGATTATATTTTGAGTCTTCCATAAAGCAGGAATATTACCAGATATCATAATTGAGTTAATGATATCTAAGAAATAGGAGAGAGATGTACTATCTAAGTGTGAAAAAAAGAATATGGTATTCCATCTTCTCCAGGTGCAGAATCTTTAACTTTTGTAAGTACTCCCTTAAGCTCTGGTAACGAAAATGGAGCATTTAATTTAGAGAAATAATCTATATCAAAGGTAATTACAACTTTATCCAACAAAACTTTTTCAGGAACTGAGGGAGGGGCTAATTTGTCTAGGAAACATTCAACCATATGAGGAGGAAGTACATTTGATTTAGAATCGTGGAATGCACTTCTAAATCTTCTTATATTATTCCAGACTATAGATGCATTCACATTGGGAGAAATAGATGAACAGAATTTCTTCCAACCTGTTAATTTCTTATCTCTTAACAATTTACGGGTAGTTCTGGATATATTACAGAAGATATCAAAGTTTTCCAATGTAGAGTGTAAATTGTATTGTTTTTCAGCATTTTTTCTTTTCCTAATATCTTCAGTACATTCACTGTCCCACCATGGTGGTGAAGGTATTGTATTCTTAGAAGAAGATTTTTTAGGAAAAACTTCATTAGCAGCCTGTATTAATACTTCAGTGAATGCATTAGAGCAAATGGTTTCAGTGCCTTGAGTAATAATAGGCAGTGATGAGATTTTAGATGCAATGACGTTATTGAAAGTATCCCAATCAGCATTATTTAGCTTATATTTCATCCTTGGTTCATATTTTGGTAGTGGTTTATCAATAAAAGGAAAAGAAATAATAAGAGGGAAATGATCACTTCCAAATGACAGTGACAAAGGGCACCAAGTAAGGGATGTTGCAAGAGTAGGTGAACAGATGGAAAGATCAGGAACACTATTTCCTTCATTAGGTGGAGTACGACGTGTAGGTTGGCCAGTATTTAATACACACAGGTTAAGGGTATCTAATATTTCTAAAACTTGGTGGCCATATGAATTGTTTGTTGTACTACCCCAGGACTGATGTTGTGAATTTAAATCTCCTAGTATTAATAAAGGTTTGGGAAGGGCAGAAAGAATATTATTAAGTTCATTAAAAATAGAAGTTCATGGATGAGGTATATATAAAGATACATAACAAATGTTGTTAACTTGGACAGCTAATATGGAAAAATTACTGCTATGATCAATAGGTATATGTGAATAAGGAACTAAATGTCGGACGAGTATAGCGACACCACCATACCCATCTGTCCTATCTTCTCTGAGACAAGCATAACCCGGTATCTTAAAAGTAGATATGGGTTTCAGCCATGTCTCCTGAAGGGCACAAATAAAAGGTTTATTTTTATTTAAAATATGAAATAATTCACTTTTTTTATTAATAATACTACGACAGTTCCACTGGAGAACTTTGGCCAATGGAGCCATTGTTGTTGAAGATTTGAAGAAGAGCACTAAATAGAGAAGCAGCGTTGGACGGTACAATAGAATTAGACTCAGTCAGCAATTTAATTAAAGCCATGATTAATTCTGTAAATTGATTTGGTAAATTCTGATCAGCTACAGATTTATAACCGCAGCCATCTGCAGGAGTAGGAGGATTATAATCTTTTATTAATTGCTTATGCATGTTTACATCATAACCATGTGATAATTTTGGAGATTGACGGGGTTTTTGTACAATGGTTTTTTTATATGATCTATTGATTATATTAGAAGATAGAGTATTTTGGGGTTTAGTATTATTTAAATGTTCCGCAGTTATGATAGAAGAATTAGTTTTAACTGTGTCAGCATATGATTTTGTTACAGGACCATGCAATTTGCTGGCTTCTGCATAAGATATACAGCTTTTAGCCATAGTTTCTTTTATTGCTTTTTGTCTCCATAGTTCCGGGCAGTTTTTACTGTTAGCTTGATGATCACCAAGACATAGACAGCAGCAGAAGTCTTCTTGCTGCGTACAGTTTTCACCTGAATGTCCTTTACTACATTTATAGCACCGTGGTGTAGAACGGCATTGATCCTTAACATGACCATATCGACAACAGTTATAACATTGTACTGTTGGGTATATGTAAATATCTACAGGTAATGAGTTGTAACACATAAATACACGTTTAGGAAGTATTTGACCATCAAAAGTTATAATAACAGTTTCTGTGTCAACAAATATGGATTCACCATTAATAATATTCTTACGTCTAATCCTTCTAACTTTAAGTATTTCTCCACAGCCAAGTGGGACAGAAATGTTACTTATTACCTCTTCAGGGGACCAGTTTGAGGGAACACCCTTAATAATTCCTATTCTAGTAAGATTAAAAGAGGGGAGAAATGCTTTATAGTTCTGTTGTTTTAAACGGTCACAGTCAATGAAGGAATTGGCATCAATAAAATTAGAGAATGACAAAGCTAGTCTATTCCTACCAATTTTTTTCAAACTACCATTAATAACATTTTTATAAGCACAATTTTTTAAGAGGCGACCAAAGGCAATTGGGTGTACAGTAATTCTGTCATCCGGCGAAGACTGCTCCTTTTGGATATGGACTACATAAGGTGCCGCATCACCTGATTGATAATAAAGCCTAGCTACTGATGGTCGTAACTGACTTGAACCAGCATTATCCATTTTATCCTCATTATTTGCACATATCACAGGAGGTTGCTCGACCTTGTTCTCATTATCCTCTATATTTGTACATGTATTAGAAGAAGGTTGATCACCTTCATTTACAACAGCGCATTGACAAGTGTTCTCTTGATTTTTAGAGTTTCCTTTAGAACCGCGATTTCTTCTTCGCTTTTTGTTACAGTGTTTACACACATGAGTAGCAGATATACGTTTTCGTTTAACTTTCAAATTCTCCACTAGGGTAAAAGAGCAATCAGTATCCATGGAATCATTTTCATTATTGCTAATAGTTACGTGGAGGCCCACCTGAGGGCCTGTGCCCCCAGGATCCTCAGGAGGGTCCATATATAAATTAAATAATTATGACTTACCTATGTTACAGCTACTATAATTACACTAATTAACAAATAAAATATATATATAAAAGAGTGAAAATATCTACAATATCTAACTTAACTGATCACTATTAAATTTTTATTTAAATCTTATCAAAAAAACACGACCACCAAATTCTATGTTTCCCGCCTTTTTTCCATTAACTATTTTTTCTAAACGGGATTGGTTTGACGCACAGAACTTTTGTTTATCTGTGCGTGCCTCTTATACATTGAGGTATTAGCGGTAATGACTTTTCGTTCAATAGGTGTGTCAGTTGACTTATTTTCGATGATTTTTAACGGGAGATCCGCAAAATGGACGCAAATTGGGCGATGGACGCGAACAGGCGAAATGACCCTAATACTGTTATATCTATTTTAGTGATGCTTAGTTAAGGCATAGAAGCGTTACAAAAGAAAACATTTATTTTTGTTTTATACTGTTGGTTAAGATGTAATATTTCAGAAAACCATTAAAAATAAAATAAAAAGAATAATATTTGCTCATCGAAATTTAAGTAACATGTAACTTATGTTCCTTGATCTAACCGTTGTCTAAGCGATTTTAGTGATGATTCTTAAAAAATGCCAAAACTATAATTACAGCTACAGCTTTTTTTGGGCCACGATGTTGCTAGATTTTCACTGTAGTTTATTTGACGTTCATTTTGTGAGGCAAAATATGCTAATAATGATTTATGTAGGAGGTTGCGGGAACTATATAATTATTTATTTGAAAATAGAGAGTTCAGTTTTTTTTTTTTATTTATATAGACATCATTCCCAGCCTTCTCTTCTATTTCTACTGATCCTGTAATCCTATACCTAAATTACTACTTTATGTGTGTCGTTTTCCCAGCTTTATAAAAAGAAACTAGAAAATTATTAATGGCAATATAAATCGCCCGTTCTAGAAGAAGAAAACAAATGTAATGTAAAATCAAAACATAGGGAATTAAAATAAATAACAAGCAATTTGGACGTCTATCCAGTAATTTCATTAATATTATGTAGTCAGAATAGGAGGTCCTGGACCTTCTATTAGTGGTCTTTCTTAATTTTTGTTGGCAACACTGATATTGTCTATTTGATTATTTTGCGGTGTGCTCTTCTGTGTTAGTCACAAGATTAATAGCATATTATAATTAACTGCTTTTAATACAGAATTAGTTGTTCTTTTATTTACAAAAATGGCTCTACACGTTCCTAAAGCTCCAGGAGTACCCCAGATGCTGAAAGATGGTGCTCGAGTAAGTTTGTGAATTACTTTTGTTTCCGCCTATTGTCATGTGCAATATGATTTCAATTTTCTTAAAAAAATCCTATTGTATTAATTCACGATTAATGATTTGTTTTAAAAATATATAATTGTTATACAAATTACCGATTTAAAACAAATTTATATAGTGTTTCTTTTATTTACATGATTAATTTGTTTTATAACCTGTTAGGTATAAATATACACTTTGCTCTGGTTTAATACTATTTAATAACTAAGAGTTTTAAACAATTTAAAACAACCTGCAGTATACTTTTTATAGTTGATATCCTTTTCATTTATTTATTCATTTTCAAACGTACATATATAACAAATTTGATTATACATTGGACCCCGCACTATGCGAACCTGTATCGCGGGAGTCCACAAAAGAATTGCCAAATAATTATTAACTATTACAGATCAGTGAGTAGAGTAGATTTAACATATCAGACTAATTAAGATTTTTAGTTTGATTTCATAAAATTAATTAAATCAATATTTCTAATTGCAATTCAATTATTATAGCATAGTTCTAATTGACATTATTCAATTTGCAGATGTTTTCTGGTTTAGAGGAAGCTGTTTATAGAAATATAAATGCATGCAAACAGTTCGCACAAAGTGTTCGTTCGGCATATGGACCTAATGGCATGAACAAAATGATTATTAACCATATTGATAAACAGTTTGTGACCAGTGATGCAGGCACAATAATTAGGGAACTGGATGTTGAACACCCTGCTGCAAAATTAATGGTTCTGGCCAGTCAAATGCAAGATGCTGAAGTTGGTGATGGGACCAATTTTGTAATTGTATTATCTGGAGCACTTTTAGAAGCTGCCGAGGAACTATTGCGTTTAGGTGTAACTACAAGTGAAATAGCTGAAGGATATGAATTAGCCCTTGCAAAGTCTCTCGAAATACTGCCCGGATTACAAACTGAAGAAATTAAAGACTACAAAAATATTTCAGCTGTAGTCAAAGGTATTAAACCCTCAATTATGTCCAAGCAGTATGGATGTGAGGACTTCATAGCTGAACTTGTTGCCAAAGCCTGTATTGCCATTCTCCCTGAAAAGACTACATTTAATGTTGACAATGTCAGAGTTTGTAAGGTAAGAAAAATTCTCTATTATTCAATAAATCTAGTTCAAATACAAAAGTTTATAGTTAGTTATACAATTATTACTTATTGTTATTCTTAACCTCGTAATTGTTAGTTAAACAGGATGAGTTAGTAGACAAAGTAAGTCTGAATTATGAAAGAAAAAAATATTTTAATTATAAAAATATATAATGCTGATCATTATATGTACATTATTGTTTTATATATATTAACAGATACTTGGTGCTGGACTTTACCAATCTGAAGTACTGACTGGAATGGTGTTTAAACGTGAAGTAGAAGGTGACATTTCATCTGCCACTAAAGCTAAAGTGGCTATATATTCATGTCCTGTAGACATTAATCAAACAGAAACTAAAGGGACAGTGCTGATAAAAACAGCAGATGAACTTCTTAACTTCAGTAGAGGTGAAGAGTCACTTCTTGAAAAGCAGATCAAAGATATTGCTGATGCTGGAGTTAAAGTCATAGTTGCAGGTGCTAAGTTTGGTGATATGGCATTGCATTTCCTGAATAAATATAATGTAATGGCTGTTCGTCTTACCTCTAAATTCGAACTCAGGCGTCTTGCTAAGACTGTGAATGCTACTGTAAGTAATATGTTTTGGTTGTAAGTAAATATTTTTACTTGTAAAGCTCTTGGCTACTGCTAATATGAAATAGTAACTACCCAGATATACAAGACAGAGACAAATAACACAGCATCAATTTCCTTTCATTTTTTCTTTTTATTTCTTTTTTCAACTAAGACTACTAGTCTTGGTATTTGCCATAATATAGAATGAGACACAGATATTCTAATGGTGGTTAACAAAGTTGGTACGGAAATAGAATAAATTATATAATTTTCTCATAAATCATTAATCAATATTTGTTTGTCAATAACACAGACTGAGTACTGTCTTATATTCACCAACATCATTCAGCTCTTTTCATGAAAAACATGTCTCACAAGATTTATTGGATCACTTTTTAAATACACACTTGTGTTTACTTCCTTTGGTTAAAATTTCTACCTCCCTTCTATGTTATTTTATTATTTATATATAACTTATAAACATATGTTATTGTAATAATTTATAGATTTCTCAACATATTAGAATATTTAATTTGCGTGTCTTAAATTTTGAATATTATCTATACATATAAATAAAATTGGAGTGTCTGTTTATAATATTAAAATAAACGTTTTTACTACATGAATATGAATATATATGGTACATATACCAAAATAACATTTTTGTCTGTCTGGCTGTCGGCCTGTTTGTTCCGGCTCAAAATCTGAAATGGCTCCATTTTGACGGTACATTTTTTGGCAAGTACCTGATTTTGTAAGGAGTATCTTAGGCTACATTTATTTTAGAAAAATAAAGTTAAATTCCACGCACGAAAATAAAAGCATCCTAAGTTACTCCTTATTACATTAACCACCTGCCAAAAAAGTCGCGTCAAAGTAGGTCCAGCCATTTCAGATTTTTGAGCCGGAACAAACAGGCCGACAGCCAGACAGACAAAAATGTTATTTTGGTATATGTACCATATATATTCATATGCATGTAGTAAAAAACGGTTATTTTAATATTACAAACAGACACTTCAATTTTATTTATATGTATAGATTACAATAATAACAAAACAACTAACTTTCAGGTCCTACCTCGACTTACAACTCCAACAGCTGAAGAGCAGGGCTATTGTGATGTTGTGGCAATTGAAGAACTTGGAGATACTCGTGTAGTAGTTTTCCGTATGGAAAGTTCGGAGTCTCGCATATCGACAATCGTAATCAGAGGATCTACTGATAACTATATGGATGACATTGAAAGGGCTATTGATGATGGGGTTAATACTTTCAAAGGCATAGCAAGAGATGGGCGGTGCGTGTTCTAGTGGCTTGAGTTCTATGAACAATATATTTTATAAAACAATGAAAAACGAAAACAATATGTAATAACATGAATTATGGATATGTTTTAGTAATAATTTTTTTTTTTAGATTTGTAGCCGGCGCTGGCGCCACTGAAATTGAATTAGCTCAACAGTTGCTAAAGTATGCTGACACACTTCCTGGCCTCGAACAGTATGCTGTTCGAAAGTTTGCTGTTGCTTTAGAAAGTATACCACGGGCATTGGCAGACAACTCAGGAGCTAATGCAACTGAAGTTGTAAACAATATATACAAAGCACATACAGTAAGAAAAAAATATATTAATTTACTTGAATAATATCTCTAGATAATTTTTTTTATGAAATAAGAATGGCAAACAAGCTCATTGCTTGCCTGAATGAAAGCAGTAACTAATACAAATTTATCAAATCCGCACATGTCGAAATTTAATGTAATGTCTTGCTATATGCAATATGCAATGCTTCTGTAATGGCATCATATGAGTGATTTCACAATCATCATATGCTACCATCATGATAACCGCTTCCCATTAGGTGGGTCGTCAGCTTATTTGCTATTTCAATTACATAAAATAAAAATTAGTAAATAAACTTGCCCTTTCAGGAAAGTAACAAGTTTGCTGGTTTTGATATAGAATCTGAAAACAATGGTATTTGTGATGCTAAAGAAAAAGGCATTTTTGACTTATATGTTCTCAAAAACTGGGGTTTAAAGTATGCAGTCGGTGCAGCCACAACTATCCTTAAAGTGGATCAAATCATCATGGCAAAGAGAGCAGGTGGTCCCAAGCCCAAGCAGCCCATGGGTAGTGATGACGAATCATAATTAGTTTAGATAAAGCTAGTATGTTTATACATATACAGCATAATTTTGTTTAATTCTCGAATTATCTAATTATATAGCAAAAGAAGCTGTTTCAGTTAATAATAATTATTTAATTTATGTAACAGTATTTTGAGCACTTGCTACTTTTCTTTTAAAACTTTACTTATTAAAATAAGATATAAAATTGTAACAAATTCTAAAAAGACTATCGCAGTTGCATATGGTCATTATTAAAACTAATAAACGTTAATTACAATTGCTATTGCTGTTCATATTTTTAATTTATACAGTAAGTTGTAATAATGTGTTATTAACAGTATGTTGAGCCCAGATTACAACCAATTTTATATATTACTAATGAATTGTTATTATTTATTGTATAGCTGATATATGTTGTTGCAGAGCTTTTTACTTATAAGAAGTTTGAATCTAAATTCTTATCTCTTCTCTTTAATCTGTATTAATGTCGCAAAATGACTGTCACTGTTTTCTTTTAGGGCTTTTTCAATCAATGTAATACATGTACAATCACAAGTATAGTTTTTAAGAGTTATGCTCCAGTGGTTGATTACCCCAATATTGAACTCAGATCGTCACAGTGAATCTGGTTATCGCTAATAAATATCACATCAGTTTCTCTCCGGTGATGAAAACGCCATTAACAAACAAAATTAATCCGATTGATGACCTTAGGTTCACGCCTGCCCTCTGCTATGTTGGATTTAAAATATACCCAGCAAATGAGTATTACAGGGTACAATGTCGAGTGCTATAATACTTCTAAACAGAGTGGAAGGAGATTATTAGTAATATGGACTTGCAATCCTATTGCTAGCTATGTCGGGTTAACCTCCACGTGGTTCCCCTAGAAACCGTCGTGGCAAATTCCCTTTTGCCGAGATTGGCAAACTGCTCTGACTTCATGCGCATTGTATCATCCTCCGCTGGTGACCCGCTAGCGTAAACCTTTAGCGCAAGCGGGTATGTCGTTCCATTACCATCCATAAAGAATCCTTTCTGTTATCGATCGAGTGAGGACATTATCAGTTTCTCTTTGTTTCGGATTACTCTAATGCTGTTGGCTGCAGATGTCCTATATAGCTTCACCGGATGATAGGGTGCAAGTGCAGATGGCACCAGATACCCGCGGAATGACTTTTTTTTTTTGTGGATGATAATGGAATGGTGCACCCGCCTGCGCTAACGGTTTACGCTGGCGGGGCACCAGTGGAGGATGATATGACGAGCATGATGTCAGGTCAGTTAGCCCATCGTGACAAATTCACCAGGAATTTAACACGATGGTTACCAGGGGGAACCGCGTGGAGGTCGACCTGACATGGTACATCGCTAGCAATGGGGTTATCAATCCACATTACTAACAATCCCCTTCCCCCCCCCCGCGGAAGGACTTATGGAGCGGCTGAAAGCCAACTACCGCCTGACTGATACGACTTAACGGTCTGACGGCACCAATAGAGTTTCGAACCTCGGCTCAGGCCATCTTAATTTCGATCCCTCTTTGATCGGAGGCATTATTAAGCAAAGAATATTGAATATATAGTTTTTGGAAGCCTTGGGTAAACTATTCGGCTACCAGACTATTAATTAGCGATAATATCTGTTAATGATAATTCTTATCAGTACTACAGTTCAAAATTTATAACAGCACCTACTAATTTTCCCGTTAAACGTAATTTTGCCCTATAAATAAATATTACTATTAAAAAATAGGGGTTGGTAGTTGAAGGGTGAAAATTTAAGCCAAAATTTTGGGGTGAGCCACTCTTAACACTTAAGGTTATAAAAATTTGTTATAAACCTATTCTCGGATCTACTGTAGAAGTAAACACGAACCCTTACAGGGTTCGGCACGAGGATTTTATATATATCCGTATTATATAAATGGAACATAGTTTATGGACATTATTTCCAAATAACAAAAAATAGTAATTATAGTATTGTAAATTACTAAGGCATTTATAGAATATATAGGTAAAAAATTTGTTTCGTATTCCAAAAATAAAAACCAATACATTGATTAAAAAATAAATTGAAAACATCCGTAAAATGGCTATAACAATGTTTTTTTACACATGAAAAGTGTATTACAGGGATGTCCATCCTTTTTTAAAGTCGATTATTTATTCATCGTTATTTTATTAAGCATACCAATCGATTAATTTGAAAACATTTTTGTCATATAATAATTGAAAGAAAACCTATATGTATAATATATTTTACTATAATTAATTATATTTTTCTTACTAATCTTCGATACAGAGGGTAATTTCGTTAATTACTGTCCTCTCTGTCGAAAACTTCTAAAACAGTGTTTTTATTATGAGATCTAGTGAATGTCAGCTGTGGTTTCGAGGGTGGTTGGTCAACAGCACCCTCTCAAATAAATAAAGATATAATTTTCATAAAACTACATCTTAAAGAAAAAAATTACTTAGCCCACTGTAGCGATGTGGATACGTCAACAAGTAGCACGAACATTTAAAAAAGACATCAGTGATTTGCACTCACTTTAAAATTTGTTAGAAGCTAATTTATATGCTGTTTTGAATAATTAAAATTGTAACAAAACACAAAAAAATTAAAGAGAACTTCAATTTCTGTTTAAGAAATTTATTTTAATGGATAACTCATTTTCTTCAACCCGCATTTATTACATGGCGCTGTGATGTAGAAAGCTTTATTAAGTTGTTATTACTTTAATGACTTTCCATAGAGGGAAACAAAGTATCTTGTACGCCCCAGGTAGCGACCTGCAATGGCAATTTGGAAATCGCTCAACAGGCTACGAACCCAGATGGGCCGCTGTGACTGCGGAGCTATGGTACACCAGCTGGCTTGTCTTTTGTGCCCAGCATCCTGCACAAAGGGGGACCTAAGGGATGCGACGGAGTGCGCAAGGAATGTCGCGGCGTTCTTGGGAAAATATATTTAAATATATGTATTTGGTTGCCGTTGAAACGAAGAAGAAGATACCATGTGCGCTGTGGGCGTGGGTGACAGTTTCAGTAACGTTTCGTTTCACTCTTGAAAGTTGCCGCGATTTACAAATTATGACTTAGTATTTCAGCTGTACCACATTCGTAATATATTAAAATATGAATAACTGTAGTTAAATTTAACCCAGCCAGAATGTTCTAATCTACAAATACAGGCAACTGTATACGAAAAGAAAATAAAAATAGATAATACTACAAAAAAACATACAAACAAAAGTACACAATCCACAAATATGGCTCTAGTTTTTAAATATATTTTATTATCTCTAACATAACTTATTATTAGTTATCTGTTTACTAAAAGGTTTAAATATAATTGTTATTTTAAACAACCACAAAGAGATTTTTTTTTTTTTAGTTATTGGATTATATTCGATTATTCCTATGATCGATTATTTTTGACATCCCTAGTATTATTATTATCTATGCCCATGGTCAAGTTGTAGCGAATATACCTTCTCTTTAAGGAACTCCTGTTTAAATTAATTCTGTAAAGAACTCATCTTAATTTGTCATGTCTATCTTTAAAACAAATATATTGGTAAGTGAAATTATGAATATGATTTGATTTTGTACATGTGCAAAACAAGTTTTGCTTAGAGATTACGTAACATAATTCCAGGTCCGTTCGCTGAGCACTTCTGCTTCAGCAGCTCAACTTGTCAAAGCTCCCGTACAAGTTTTTGGATTAGAAGGCAGATATGCATCTGCTCTTTATTCGGCAGCTTCAAAAAGTAAAACATTAGACGCTGTTGAAAAGGAACTATCTCAGTTTCAACAAAACATTAAAAGCGATCCAAAACTTAAGGAGTTCATTATCAATCCGACCCTGAAGAGGAATCTGAAATCTGATGCGTTAAAAGCGGTGGCTACTAAGGTACCTTTATCATAATATTTTAAACATGTTAATAGTTATTTACCTAGTAATATATTACACTATATTAGTTTTCACAGACATTGTTTAATCCAACCAATAGATTTTATAAATTAGTTAAGAATTATACATTTCATATGTAATTAATTTTGTATTCATTGTAAGGTCAAGTTTTTATTTAACATTTTGTGTAACCTTATTTTGTTAATGGAGTAATGTCAATTAAAAATCAGTTATCTGTTTTAGCTTTTGGAAATTAAAGAAATAAAATTTGAACTTAAAACAGTTAAAAAAATTTAAATTGCTTAATTAATTTGCTCCTGTTTCTAATATCCTATTCAAAAATGGAGCTGTTGACAAAATTTATTACTGTTAGAAGTATTTCTGTTTTAAATTGATTGATTCCATTTTTAAATAATTTTAATTAAAAAATAAAAAAAAAGGAATGAATAATATTCTATACATATAGGTGGATAGAATGACACAAAACACATAGAATGGAACTACCATATTTCTATTATTACACACATATTTTATTTTTAAAGTACATTTAATATACATAGGATTAAATGGTCAGTTCAGAGCTAGTTATTTTAATAGCTGGCCTACATTATAAAAGAATAAATATCTTAAATGGTCTATAGAAATTTCAGACTCACTTTTTGTGTATTTTTATCTAACTTTAATTATTACAATATGGACAAATTATCAAAATATGGAGTTTTTTCAGTTCCAGATCACTACTCCAATTTATAACCACATTTTTAGCCAGTTTGTGATGAAACTAGCTAAAAATGTAGTTGTAAATTGGAAAAAGATTCTTTTTGCTATGAACATATGGTCATAAGAAAGAAATAGTAATGTGTTTATTAATAACAATTGAGTATTAATAACTGTAACATAGCTGCTTTGTTTCGTAAAATAGTCCATTTAAGATGAAACTTTACAATTTAGGGCTATTTATTTTTAAATCCTTTGGTGGTGGTGTCTGTAGATTATGGAAATTGATTTGAATCTGAGAGTTATCTGTGCTATTTTCATGATATTCTACAGATATAGTCTAATTATAGAAAAAACAATACCAACTAATTAGAATGCAGAGTATAAAATGAATACATTTCTGTGTAAGATTTTGTCCTTAATTGTACCATACAGTTGGAAGATGGAAATATAACTATGCATTAACACAGCAAATCCACGTCAATGCATAAACTATAAGAAAAACATTATATTTATGACTGAAAATTACTCTATTCACTAATTTTTAACCTTAAAAATCAACTGCAATCCTCCGAGTCAAGAGTCAAGTTCAACAGTTCACAGATTGATAATGAACATGTTCTGTTTATGAAATTCCCACCACAGAGGACAAAGATAGAATGGGCATGCATTTTCATACAAAATAAACTCTTTCCGTTTTTTACACCTTACCTATTGCTTATTTTATTTATATCAGAATATTTCATAAAATTGTGTATGAACAGGTCAGGTAGTGATAGGCAAACCGGCTATTCGACCCTAGTTAATGTGTAGTAATTAAGCACTTGTCATGGTACATATTTTATTATTTTTTTATTTGTAACTAAAGATTTTGTATTCAGACCAATTTATCACCCACAACAAGCAATCTGCTTAGTCTACTTGCTGAGAATGGACGCTTGGACAAATTGGAGTCTGTTATAAATGCTTTCAAGATTATGATGGCTGCACACCGTGGGGAAGTTACTTGTGAGGTAATCACTGCCAAACCTTTAGATCAAGCTCAACGACAGAACTTGGAAGCTGCTCTCAAGGTAAATTTAATATTTTTAACTAATTAATATTCATATGGATCCTTCTTATTTATTGAAAGCATTAAGTACTTAGTTACAAAATATGTATGTGTGTATAAAATATAGAAAAAATCAATAATATATTAAAAATATTCTATTGAACGTAATTTTTAAATATGTACATCTTTCCTGTTGTCAAGTTGTTTATTGCAGGTGGTAGACAAGATTCTGATTTTTTTTAAACTATCATGGCTATTTATGTATATATATAATAGGTGTGTACAATAGGTGTTACATCAATATTGTTTTTTGTTTCAGAAATTCCTGAAAGGCAATGAGACACTACAATTGACAGCTACAGTGGACCCCTCTTTGATCGGAGGTTTGGTTGTTTCAATTGGTGACAAGTATGTAGACATGAGTGTTGCCAGCAAAGTGAAGAAATACACGGAACTTATCAGTGCCACAGTTTAAATATTCTATTTATCTCTTATCCATCAAATATTTAGTCAAAATAAATAATTACACAGAATAATTTAATTCACAGATGTTTGTTTAATTTCTGCTGTTTATTTTAGTAGAACCTGCACAGGCCCTTTTTTTTTATTTTTTATTCTTACAAATGACATACTCAGTCAAGACTACTTATTACTTGTATCCCAGTACATATATATTTTTTATAGTAAAGAGACAAACATTTTGATGAAACACAAGAAAACAAAAGAATTGAAACACAAGTTGATTCTAGAATAATGTAATACTGTGATCTGGAATAGTCTGTTCATGGCTATAGCTATGGCAGACTTGTTTATCATTACCTTTAACTTTTTTGATATGCTCTTTTAGTTTATTCAAAATGGGGAATAGTAATTTGCTAACAATACAGATACCATGTTAAGTTGACCTCCCTGAGTTTATTAAATGATACCATAATAAAAATAATGATGTAACTAGTATCAAAAAAAAGGTTCTAATATCAATCAAATAGCATTAACTTGCCTATTATGACACATTTATTTCTAAATGGAATAGTTGTTTGTTTAATAGACAATAATATTAATACACCTACAATCCCTGCATTGCACACCAATAGGGACAAACATCCTTAAATTTAAACAACAATAACAACACTTATATTTTTTAAAATCAACAAGAATATTTTCTATTTAAGAACATTACAGAATAATGAGATCATTAATTGAACATATAGTATTAATTACATAAATTTATCCCTCTGTTGGGGCTGCATCACCTTTGAGAAGGGCATTCTCTGCTTCTAATTCTGCTATACGAGCTCTTGCTGCCTCAAGTTCATCGTCTCCTCCATCTGTACCTAAATGCTTGCGTACATACTCCAAAGCATCTTCTGGTTTATCTGGTTCTTCATAAAGACTAACCAGTACTTTGGTCAATGCATCCATAACACCTGCTCGCTCCAAGTATCGACGGAATTCTTCTCTTTTGGAATCTATTGGCTGAGAATTATTAATAGTTGTACAAATATCATATATTATCTTTAACTTCTTAAAATAAAATTCTCATAAAACAGTAATAAATGTTTAAAATAGATATAGCTATGCTATATTCATAAATACCTTATATGAAGACATGTCTTCTATATTATATAGTATTATTTATTGAAGTTAGAATATTTTTTTTGGCAGTAATTATAAAAATAACGTTTGGACGACTAACAAATTATTTTTTAACTTTTTTCTAAACTACTATGGTAACAGCAAATAGTATCACTATATAGTTTGTGACAGCAAATTAACGAAATAGGACTAGAAACCTAAATTGCTTTATAGCATAGATAATATATATATATACTATACTTGATTTATAGTAACAAAATTGTACTAATCAGAATTAGACCGAAACAATTAATTCTGACACTGAATGACAGAAAAAAAATTCAGATTGACAATCATTAGAAAAAGTTACTATTCTAAAAGGTATTTTTTTTACATACATATTTAATGATTATATTGATAAAATTATCGATAATCTAATTAGAAAAATATCAGTATGACATGTTTCTATGTTTTAAAATACTATAAATATCGTTTGACAACAATCGGTGTTTCCTCGTAACCTATAAATTGTTTGATTATATATATATATATATATATAGACGTCAAATTTTATATCATTCTAATTAGACGAAAATAAAAATCTACATAAAAATAGATGAGGAATCATTTATTAAAAAAGAGCAATCTCTTTTCTTACAAATGATTCCGCATCTATTTTTACATTAAATCTTTTTTATCTGTAAATTGACAGTGATTGACAGTGACATGTGGACCACTCGACACGCAGTGTGATGTTTATTTCAATAATACAAATTTAATTTAGAAATGGTTTTGTCTCTAGAAATTCCAACTAATTATTTTATTCTTGTTATTTGGAATCTATAATCTTATATAATAGATAGCAATTAACTATGTCACATCAAGATATAAATATTTCTCTATTGCTTGATGGTTTAGGATTAGAAGGAGAAGAGAACGATTTTTGCGACTTCACCATAGCTGATCAAAATTCTGTAGCTGAATCTCAAGGTATAACACCTACTACACCTTCCAATTTCAAACCAATACTCGGAAGTAATGTCACCTATGTTGTAGCTTGTGTCATTTTAAATGAACATAATGAGGTGCTAATGATGCAAGAAGCCAAGGAAAGTTGTGCAGGTAAGTGGTACCTACCAGCAGGCCGCATGGAAAAAAATGAGACCATAGTACAAGCTGCCATAAGGGAAGTGTTAGAGGAAACTGGTTTAGAATGTGACCCTAAAACATTGTTAGTAGTTGAGACAGCTGGTGGTACGTGGTACAGATTTGTTCTAACAGGAGAAGTTACTGGTGGTGAATTAAAAACTCCAGCTAATGCAGACAAAGAGTCCCTTCAAGCAAAATGGATATCAAATCTCCAAGAAATATCTCTAAGGTCAAATGACATATTACATCTTATTGAAAAAGCACAGTTATACAAACAGAACAAATCAAGTGGTTTATGGCACAGTGATATCCTTCCTGCATCTGTACCTCATGTGAAAGATCTGTTGAGATTGATTATTGTAATAAAAAAGAGGAGTACAAACAAGTTACATGTATTGCTTAGTGAAAAGACATCATTACACTATCCCATGTGTGAAATAAATCCAGCTAAAAGTGTACATTCTACACTGCGAAGATTTATGGTTGAGATGTTTGGGGCAGATGTAGGACAACATCGCCCCCTAGGACTTCTAAATGTAGAAGCAAATCCAATATATGATGGTTGTTGTCTCACTTTGCTTGTAGCATTCCGACCACCTCTTGAGGAAGTGCCTTTAATTGGGAAATGTGCTTGGCATGAAATATCTCAAGACAGTGAAAGAAAATTACTAAACATTATTAACTCAAAAAATTCCACTGTTGAATTACATGTAATACGATAAAATGGAAATGCTGTATCTTTTTTATTGTTATAAAATTTCAAATACTCAATATTATTACTTTTTGTATTTAATATGCTGACTTTGATTTATGTATTAAGTAATTTTGTATTATTTTTATAAACAAATATATTTATTATTAAGTACTACACTACTGAGAATGTCTGATTTTTACTTTCTGTATTAAATGTTTAAATCATATTTATTGAATGGAGCATATAAAAATATTGTCAGTTCATTAAAATGAATATTATGCCAATTTCTTGTTATGTTTACGTAAAAAGCTTTAATGAAAGTAATATAATGATGTTAGCACTAAATGTAATATTATTGTTTGAATATTGATTCATGAAAATTATTTAAGAATATTAATTGCCAATTTCACTTGTGATGTAAAATTTTGAGTTGCTGTTTTATAATTTCATCAATATTGTTTATGTGAAAGGCTGACTTGGAATGAATCTTTTATACCATATTTTTTGTTTATCTATAAAGTTATTAAATTTAAAGTTATAAGCAATGTTATTTTTTTATATAGCTATGGAAATATGTTATAAATAATGACAATGAATGTATAGCTCAAATATTTTTCTATTTGGTATAGGAATTATATAAATAGGATTAAGTAAATATATATTATTTGGTTGAGGTTTGAATATACTTAATAAATTGTAAGTTTCAAAAATGAAACAATATTGTAGATATAATGAAAATCTCACTAATATTATTCAGATAGTATCTGTTAATTCACATGATAATCAAGAGCAAAATGAAGTCAAAGTGTAATTTTTAAATAATATAATAGTTTGAACATTTTACATAATATAAATTTTGTCAGGTTTATTAATTGTCATGGTCTATTATTATTATATATTTTACCATGATATCCATAAATAATATTGCATTCCAGTACATAAAATTTTAAATGCTTTAAATTGTAACCAATGTATTAGGTATAAACATAAATAGTATATAATTCTTTTACATTTCAATGGTAAGATGGAAGATTTAATTTTTTTAAATTACATATTAACGTATTTGTATATTATATACTTCTAACAAATAATGAGTTTTTTATTTCTTATTAGCTACTCGCCCCGGCTGCACATGGGTGCACATGTATTATACATGTACCTTCCTCTAGAATCAGTCTATCTATTAAAAGGAACCAGTTACTAGTAGTAGTTTAAAGATAGGTAGGAACTAGTTTTAAAGATTTAAGCACACATAGGGACAGACACCGACAGCAACTTAAAATAAAGTCGCTGTCGATGTCTGTCCCTATGTGTACTATGTAATGATGAAGTATGAGTTAATAAGCATAGACAAAGTCCAATCTTAAATGGGATCCAGCTGTACTAACTAAATATATATACTAGTGGATGATCATAGATTGAACTTAATGTCAGGTCAGTTAGCCGGTAAAACCATATGTATGTGGTAAAATCAAAATGGTTTCCAAGGGAAACCTCGTGGAGCTAAATCTAGCTCTGTATTTTTTATTTAAGAATTTCTAAACCTGGATTCCATATGCTGAACCACTTGTAACCCTATGGGAATTTTGATATTTATAAACAAAACAAATGCTTCTTTCACCATAACTAACGGTGTAACAGACGTACATAGATAGTAGATAATATTTATGAAATTCCATCTGTGAAATGTACACACACTACGTTACTCATACCATTTTTCGTTTGTTAACTGTATTGCATTTTATTTTGTCTGTATATTTGTTGTGTATTCTATTTTGTTTGACTTGACTAATGTAATTGTATATCTGTTTTTATTTTTGTTCTTAGGTATTATTACAGTGCCTTAACGGATATTGGTGTTCTGTGGCCTTGTGTGTGTGTGCCTTTAACGTGAATAAAATTTTTATCTATCTAAATGGGCTGAGTGTATTATGTGTATGATAATATATGGCAGACTTGTATTTGTTATTGTCCTTTACTTTAATATGTTCTTCAATACGATACGATACAGCTCCCTTAGTTTAATTCTTGGGTAGACAGACGAAGATGCGCGGGTCAGCTAGTATTACATATACATAATGTAAATAAAAACGACGTCTTCCTTGTATCTTCTAATTTTTTACAGTTTCTTAGCGTGGTCAGCAGACAGTTATCATGTGTCTACTTTTTAATGTTTGGACCAGTTTGGATGAAATGTAACATTGTAGGTATATATGTATTTTTATTAAGTTACTGGATGGTTTGCAAATACCCGTAGATGGCGCTGCTTTTCCGGGCAGGACGACGCGCTTCATTAGTACCTACTACTACTATTCATTCCATTATTTAGTTCAAGGTTGATATGATCGCATCGTAACCGAATTTCACCTTCTATTCAGCCAGACAAATCAACGGAAACATTTACCCTTGAATGTAGAGTACATACCTACATTCGGTTCAGGTATAATACCAAAGGGTTTTCCCTGGTATCTATTTATAGTGGATAATATTGTATGTATTATGTTTGTATGTCGGTTCTTTATGTGCAGAAAGCTATTGCATCTACTCTATAACTATGTAAAATAAATCGATGCAAAAAAGAGTAAAATAAAATCATAGCTTTTAAAAAGGTAAAAAAAGTGGCTTTTAAGTGGCAATACATTATGAAGTCCACAACACTATTGGAAGCCAAGTCGATTGTGTGGACAAGACCTTTACGAGATTTATTTATTTTAAAAATATGTGGAAAACAGTAGAAGTTTTGCAATGGAAAACACAAAAGAGTTTTTGACAGACTGCCAGACGGACCTTCGGAGGTAGGTACACATCACACATCACATCATAAATACAGTTTTACCTTTATGGTTTGAAGTCTAAAAATTCATAATTAAATAACACTGTTTTTTTTAAATGGTTTATTAAAGCGATAAAAAACCTTGCACTGACTAGATAAATTGAATATACAACCTAATTATCCATTAAAATTATTATATTGGAAATGCATTTTTTATTATATATACTACGTAATGTTCTATATTTCTTTCAAGCGCGAAGAGCAAATTTTAATCTTGTATCTACTCCACATGTTCTACATGCATTTTTTACATGTAAGTTTGCCACTTTATTAAACATTAATAACTGTTGAGGGCACCTTTTATTGAAGAAATAGTTTATGTATCTAATAAGAAAATGTTTTAGAGAAGATAAAGGAGTACAATAATGTATGAGTAAATACCTAGCCGCATAGTCGTATTGTTTGTGGAGGTCAACAATACGAATGCTCTATTTAAAGCCAACGGCACCGTATCCATGAAAAATCTTTTATATAGTAACTAACGAGCACCCAGCTTTGCACGGTTAAATAATGTCTATAAATAACTTAACAAATAGCATATTTCGATAAAAAAAATGTCCCCTATTTTATTCACTTAGGGGTTGTAATTTCAAAAACGCAGATACGTATCCATTGCTCTTAATCAATGCTCAAGAGTATTTTTCGAAAAAAAAAATCAGGCAGCATTTTAGGCGCATTTAGGTACGAGTAGAATTCACACAACCAATTTTTTATACTCTGTAGTTTGTAAGTTGTCTAAAATAACTATACTAGTAACCAAAATAAACTGTTTAAATGGCGACTGTACCTACCTACTATGTATCCTACATTTTTAAATATTATATTTACTTATATGTCATGAAAACTCAATACATGAGACACTCCCAGAATTATTGGTTTTAACTAAGCACTTACAAAAATTTCAAGTTTTAAAATGACATAGCTATACAGGCGGTCCCAAAAACCAACGATAAACCGAAAACAGGAGATAGACGTAGTACGTACTTACTTTGACGTAGCTGAGCTAAATGTCAGAAGGGGTTTGAGTACCTACCTTACCTTTATTTTTACCAAATTAAAAAAAAACAAATGACCACCCCCCCTCCCCCGTTCACCTAATTATAACCCATTTTTTAATTTTCATCTAAACTTACGCAGATGACTTTAAATTTAAGGCTACAATTGATAAAAAACATTAATTAATTGGGCTGTATTCCAAATATAAAAAAGTTCTCTGATAGTTGTGACGACTTGTTCTATCTTCATTCTCAGTTTATCGTTGATTTTAGGACACTTATATAATCATAAACTATAGGTTAAAGGTAACCATTACATTTCATAATGCGTTTTGATCATGTACTCACATCACACTAAATATAACTAAAAACTTTATGAATTATTGGATTTTATAAATCAGAAAATCGTTATTATCACAAATACAAACAAAATAAAAGTTTATTCTCAACTCTAATTTCATTAGATATAAATTTAAAGTGTTTATTACAAAAGTTTCTCAATAAATTTTAGCAACAAAAGGTTTAGGTTTTAAAACTTTCTGTATGATTCTTAAAAAGTATTCTTTTAACTTTAGTTATTCTTTTAATAATAGGGCTAAGGTAATAAACACTGTTATAGGTTCTACACATGTCTTTTCTAAAAACTAGTCGCTTCCATACAAGTACATTTATACAGCTAATTAATCACAAACGGTTACTGTATATTTTTGGTTTATTATAGGTATTGTATGTATACTATACATAGCGTGTCTCGTAATTTAAAACCCAACTTGCATATATTACCAACTTCCGTCTATCTATAAAAATATTAATGAATTTATACCGATATTTACATTTGTAATTTTGTATTTTAATAAAAGCACTATTTTTCACTTATCTACGAAGTTTTTGAAATGAAAAATCTGGAATAATTCTTTACTATTTTTTATAACAACTACATTGTTATTACCTCTTCGTCTTGTTTATTATTGTGTTTTTATCTTTGTATGCATAATTATGTATGTAACTGTATTTTCTGTGAGATGAAAACAATAAAGAGTTTTAATTATTCATTCATGCATTACTTCGTTTTAATTCAAGAAATAATGAATTACGCAGCCTGTTAGACTATTTTCAAGATCGCAGTACCTACCCATTTTTAATCTAATTTCGCAAATTTTATTACGATTATTAATACGCCAAAAGTTTCAAGCTCAAATAAATAGCATTTGAAGTTTCTGAAGTTTCTGAAATGTAGCACTGTGACAGACTGTTACAATCTAATAAATGCAAAGGCAACATTAATTATTTGATTCAGAACCCTAAATAAGCGTTCCTATTAGACTTTCCAGTGCGAAAATAAGAATGATGATAACGATGAAAAATTTTACACAACAACTCACTTTTCTTAGTTTTACAATATATTTTTATATGATAAAAATGTTTATCTACTTGATAAACAATGTATATATAAAAACTTGTTTACACAATGTAGATTACCTCTGTTTTTCGCTCTCCATTGAATTAAGGAACACTGTTATGTCTACTATGTATTTAGAGATAATATAAATTATTTGTACTTAAACAGAAGATACAAGAACGCAAAAGCAAAACACTCTTATACAGTTGATAAACTTATAAAAAAAAATCGTAAGTAAGGTATCATATTTCTTATTTAAAACAAACTATTTATATTTTTAAATATATAAATTAGATTACTGTACTAAATAAAATTACAATTTAACAATAAACATTAAAAATGGATAGGTAGAAAGTAATTTACAAATTTCTTCTGAACAATGTTCGAATAGTATGTATATTTTCAAATATAAAAAAATTAAGTAAAAGTATAAAATTAAAAATCTATTATTCATTGCATATTAAGTAAATTGATTAAAAGAATTATTAATTCATATAGTTGTCTGTATACTGGTGACTTTATTTGCTGTTCAGAGAAAGTTAGATATAAGTTATTTGAATTTCCTCTGAAAATGCAACAAGTCTCCACGTAGCTTATAGCACGGCGTTCGTAGATATCAGGGTAAATATTCATTTCGCTATTTAATTTGATCGATTCTTATGATTTCTTAAATTTGGGAATCTATAAAATATCTTATTAATAACGTCTCTTGTCAAACAAACCTCAAATCAAAACAAATCAAACCTCGTTAGATATTTAGGCCAAGATTTCAATGATGTATTTATTGCTGTAGCAAACCAAAAAAGAAATATAGTGCTAAGGTTTATGACGTTGCATTGAAATTAATGACAATGTTAGTGAAGTAAGTGATATTATGTTGCTGAAAGATTTATGTTTTGTCTTTACCAGCAACAGATTTAGTGATAGCTTATTAAATTTATATATATATTAAATTATGATTTATAGGTAATTGAGGAGCATGCTTCCTCTAGGAGAATAGAAAGACGATAACGAAGAAAAGAAACAAGGTTGCCTTCTCACCAGATGAAAATTACCCGGAGGAGTACAAAACGCGAAAGAGCACGAAGTATGAGACACTACTCAGGGGCACACGCATCAGATATGCTAATATCACTTTTAGAGTTGTGATCCATAAGCCTGATATTCAGTTTGTTTAGCCAATCTAACTTCCCTGACTTATTATGCCACATTCTACGTGGACCAGGAGGCCAGGGACATCGGTACTTGGAATCGGACGAGACAATGAACTTAATAATATTTCAGATGTGATAGGTCCTTACTGAATGTAAGGATCTTAATGACTCTGCGATAATAAGCTGTGGTGATGTTTCGGTCTATGATAAACTGACAAAAACATGTGTTTCCTTGTATACTATAATATTTGCGATCTATTAATGATGAGAATATGACAGAAACCTACCATGTATATTTTATTTTAACGTTTCACCTTCTTATACCTAAATATCTACATCATTTGAAATATGGACTACAACTCAGAGGTCAGAAGGGCAGAAATGTTGTTTACATATTTCGAAAGCTCTATACTCTAAACTATTCTTGAGAGTATGAGTGAATAGTGACTATGGCTTGATATATCTCTATTTTGCAACATTTTTTCTAAACAGTAAACAAAGTTAACCAGTATATTTTTTTAATTCAATTACAAAAATGCTCCTTGTTCTTTGAGTAATAAGATAGAAGCGTGTGTAGTAGTGTAGTATCAGTAAAGTCTCTTGACCTTCATATTGAATGTTTATCATAAAACAATTACTATGACTTACGTGAACAGCCTTAGAACTTACACTGTAAGTAATAAAATAATGTACTATTTTGCTCAACATATTGAGTACTTGAGTATTGATTTTTGTGATAAAGGGCTGTTCACATAAGTCATAGTAATTGTTTTATAATAAACTTTCAATATGAAGGTCAAGAGACTTTACTGATACTAGAAAATATAAATTCGTTATTAGTCATGAAAGAATATTAGGTATTTACTAAAGATGTTTTTACACTGAAATCAAGACACTGTACTAAAGTTGTATTTGCATGGCATTCATAATGCCCAGCACTTAAACTTTAAGGCTTGTTACTCTTCCAGTTGTATACCTTGAATCCAAGAGTTGAGGTCTGCTGAACGAGGACAATCAAGATTATTTTCAGTAGGGTCATCAGCAGCCAATAAACGTCGCGCCACAGATTGTCCAGAGAGATAAGCACCATGAGCTGTTGAGTAGAAACTGCTATGGGTATGCTCTCCAGCAAAAAGCAATACTGGCTGAAAAATAAATATAAAAGCTTTAACAATATTTGTAATATTTTACTTTCATTTACTACAACTACTTAAGAATATAAAATTATAAAATGCATTTTAGAATAAATATAAGTATTATACAGATATACCTTTTTGTCATGAACATTTCTGAATAATGGTTGTGCTATACTTTCAATATCACTTTGACTGGCTCCTACTGCAAGTGCAGTATATGATCCTCGAGTATATGGCTGTTTTTTCCAACTTGTACTGCAATATCAAAAATAATTGAAACACACACATTCACACTAACTCTTCCAGCAAATAATTGTGTTACATGTAATTTAGTTTACCTTTCACTTTATTTTATCTTTTTAATGGGAAATTCACTTATTAATGGGGAAATGTATGGTACCATACATTTCCCCCTCATATGCAGATGATATCTATAACTATAATTCTAAGAATATATAAAAATAATAATGTATTATTTTATCATACATACCAAACACATCTTTGTGGCTCTGGTACAAAAGGGTCATTTAAAAATTTTCGCAATATTTTGGTGCATGTAGTACCTACATCTTCCATAGACAAAGTTTCCATATATTCTGCCTCTTTTCCAGAAACCCAACCCAGCAAAAGAGTTTCAGTGACTTTGCTAAAAGAATAAATTTTCTTATACCATGAGTCAGACATATCTTCAGATGTTACTGAATTGTCCCACAATAACATAATTTCTGTTATTTCTGGATTTAGAAATGGTCTTTCATATTCTAAGAATATTTTATCTACTGTACCAAATAAAAGTCTTTCAATTGACTCCATTTTGTACTGAGGTAATTTAGGTTCAAATAAATTTGATGAATTTTCTTTGAGAACACCTAATGGTATTGTACATATCACATGATTGGCATAATAACTTTGTCCATTTTCACACACTACTTCCACATAATTAAAATTTTTTTTCTTTGGTTTGTGCTCATCTGTAATTGAAGTACCTTCAGCAGAATTCACAGTATCATTGTTAGAGATTTTGGAAGTATCTTCAATGACTGTTTGATCTGAATCTTCAGACTCTTCTCCAACATCATCCAAAGGCCTCAATGAACTGTGCTGATCGGAATCCCAGACAATTTTTATTACAGGATTTTGTGATAATATTTTACACCCAGGTATGTTTTTTGTCATTGGTTCAAGTATTGAACTAAAACCTGTAGGTATTATAATATTTCCGCCTTGTAATTCTGTGTAACTACCTATTTCTAACAAATCAATTTCATCCATACTATTACATCCAGATATACAAGTTTCTCTTTTCAGCAAACAATCAAATATTAGTCTTCTGAGTTTTTTTTCTTCGGATGATGGTAAGCGTTCTAAATAAATAGTAGCTTCCAAGTTTATATGTTCTCCAACACTGTGGATATCAGGAGGTGGAAGGTATTGACAAAGGAAATATTCTTCGCAACGCCTTAGAAAGCATACGTAAGCTTCATGTATTTCGTGAAGAACTCCGAAGGGTACTTGCTTTCCGTCTTCTGTAGCTGCTATTACCTTGTGAGGTTTGGGTATGTTGATAATGTTCACGAGACTATTCGCCATAGCCATTTCAAATATAGGGTTCCCCAATACACCATGAATCCAGTTAGCTCCCAACTCTATGTTGTGATTCTTCAATGGTATGGATACGATACGACCACCGATACGTTTTCTAGCTTCTAAAATTACAAAGTCTTCCATGCCATTTTTAATAAGATAATTAGCGGCGGATAGTCCAGCTATCCCACCGCCAATAATTATGACATTAAAATTATTTTTATCACATTTTTTACTAGAATTTAATTTTTCGTCACCCATAATAAAATTAATATTTAAATTATTTAGTTGTCACTGTACGTTTGACATTCAGCTGTTACGACGTTCGCCATGTTTTCAGAAAAGTGGTGTTCCTAGTATAATATGAAAGAAGCCAATAATCTATGGCCGTGACTTATCGACTAATAGATTTCAATCGTCAATAGAGAACAATGTGAATAGATAAAATTTTTTTACTTATTAAATTATCAAAGAATTGATGCACAGGTTATTTAATCATGAGTGCTGGTTAATTATATGGGAACAAATATAAAAACGAAAGGAAATTCCTCAACTGCCAAATCATTTTAAAATATGTGAAATGAGTGAAAAGTTTCTAAGAATACTTTATTTTTAAAGATTGAACTGAATGCATTAGTTTGAATTCTGATTGTTCTATTCGTTAGTTTATTGAAAAATGCATTATATTTTTCTCTTAATGTACTAATATTTATTTCTTTAAATAAATTTCATTAAAATAGACTACATAAAATTGGTATATTATATTTAAAAACTGACATTCATCTATAAATCCCGTCATCCTGGATAGCTCCTTTATCGAAATCTCTAATCTTCGTTCACGACTGTTCATATAATCAATAACAATAAGTTTTTGCACGTCGTATTATTATTTAAACTACTCTTAATACTCTACCTCGTAGTATACGTATTATTTATGTAGTATACATATATTATTACGTAAAATGTAATAATACATATTGCGTTTCAGCGAAGTAAGATTATTAGATGCTTGATTTTTTTACGTGTGGTTGAAAGGAGATTACAGTTTTTATGTGACCCTAAGCAACCTCTTGTTGATTTAATAGTAAGTTAGATTTGAGTAACATCCCTATCAATTTCCCCTCTCCTCCTTTTCCTCTTCCGTTGACGTCCATCCGTTGTGCAAACAAAACAATCTGTCTCTTTTTTTCTTGTTCTATTGTGTATATATCTGTATTCCTTCAATGACCTTTGAATCTGCTGAATAATATTATTAAAATCTTTGTTTACTTCTAACTAGTATCTTTGGTGAAGTGTTTTTGTTATTGTGAGAAAATATTTTCGATCCAATTGCAAATTAAAGCTTGTATTGTTTAATGTCTTTTGATATTAACAGTAATTATGCAATAACGGCTTGAATATATCCATTAAAAGATGTGATTTTTATTGTTTGTTTAAATATTCGATATCGAAAGTCATTGTGAATAATAAGTGCTTGCAAATTTTTATTTCGTGTAGTGTTTTATTTTGTTATGTAATCGAAGGATATGTGAAAAAGAATTATTAGTGTGAATATATTACTGTTTTTCAAATATTGAGAAAAAATAAACATTGTCATTTCGTATGGGACACGTGGGTATCAGTGAATAATCAATAGAAGTGTAAGACGCGTGCGCCAGCCTCTATCAACGAGACGATTATAAGCCAAGGTCACTCTACAAAACACGTGCAATGTCGGATTCTATTTACACACATGATTTTCTTCTAGAGCCTGGAGTAGAGATAAAACAGGAATCTCCTTTCGAGCTTGGCCCCATGTCTGCCTCTGTTCCTATACCTCAGCGACGGACCGAGCTTGGAGACTTTAGCTCCGACTTAGATCTTTGCCTGCAAGACAATTTAGCTGGTTCATTTCACAATGTACCATCAATGCAATATAATAAACTGGCTTTTGAATCTGACAACTGTAAAATGGAAATATTAAATAAAATGGATGATGATGATATATTTCAAGTAGACAAAGCAGATTTAATATTAGGTCCAACACTAGCTGAATTGAATGCTAACCCTGACACATTACTAGAGGATTTAAATTTCGATGATTTATTGTTACCCGAAGAGAGTGGTTATTGCATACAAATTGGTGGGGCCATGAGCGGATCTCGCCGTACACCAAACACTGTAGAGTTGTCAAACACTTTAACTGCAGAGAGCCCTTGCAGTCCTTATAGTCGTGCTCAGCTTGCTTTCTCACCCTCAAGTCAGCACAGTTCTGCATCATCCAGTTTTGCACAACCAATGAATCAATTGCCAGAACTACTTCTCCGTTTAGATGGTTATGGAGGTGAAATTTCATTGGGACAGTCTGTTCCAGCTTCTAGTGTATTGCCACCATTCCCTATTGCTGTGAAACCACAAAATACCCAACTTTCCTCATCAGCACCAACACATCTGACAATGGAACAGGTTAACTTTTTAATTTCCTTTACTTGAAATGAAATGTACTACTGTAAAAAGTATATTTAGTATTAACATTTTAATATACATTTTATTATTAGATATGGCAACGCCGAGAACCCCGTAAGCACTTGCTGTCTACCAGCTCACTGGCAGAAGCAGGGTCAGCATCCTCCCTCTCTGGAGGTTTACTCAGCCCTGGTGCAGGAGACATCTCACAGGATGAAGATGAAAGGGATGTAGAATCTGATGAGGACAGTGACAGATATGAGGATCTATCATCTGATGGTATGTAGTTTCAAAATTTTATGGTGCTATACACTGAGTTGATACATAAATACACTGAGAATAACAATGATGAAATAGTCTTTCTGTCCTATTATTTTAAAAAGGTCAGCTATGAAAATTGACATATGGACTAGACTAAGTGACTAATATCTGGCTCAATTTGCACTGTTCTCACTGTTTGTACCATGTAAGGTTCTCTGATGAATAGTGTAGGTATTTAAATATGTAAGGATATACAAATTATAAAGATTGTATTGGTATTCCAAAGTCCATCATTAAAATCAGTTTTTAGGTCCTCAAAATCAAACACATTTGTATTTATTTTTATTTCACATCATTCCAAAATTTTCTTTAACTTCAGAATCCAATGATGAGTGTTCTGAAAGTAAACAGGCAAGGAATAATGCCAAAAAAGAGAGATTTTTCTGGCAGTATAATGTGCAAGCTAAAGGACCAAAAGGACAACGCCTCGTATTGCAAAAAAAATCTGAAGATCCACACATTCTAAATTCAGTCACAGATCCTGTATTCAGCCCGAGCTGTAGTGTTAGAGGTATAAAACACAGGTAAATTATTTTTTATTATGGTTTTCATGTTATTCTCAAACACTAGAATTTTTGATTATTGATTTATATTATTGGATTGTTACTATTTTTTTAATTACTTGTTTCATTTAGGTAAGTATATCAAAGTTCATATTCAAGTTATGTCTTTTCGTATTTTATACATATATCAAATGGTGTAACCACCTGTGCCAATGGTATATGCTGTTCCACCACATGGGTTTGTTCCATATGGGTTGATTATCAGTAATGTTAAAAATATGTTGCATACACTCACCCAGTCAAAAGTTATAAAAGGACTTGGTTTGTGTTTATTATGTACATTGAATTTTCAATTATACATAATATATACTTTTAATTTGTAGTGGGAAAGCAAGAAAAGGAGATGGAAATGATCTTACACCTAATCCAAGAAAATTATACCTTATTGGCAAGGAATTGGATAATCTGGGTAAAGTTATCAATGATATGATTCCTGTCAGTGAGCTACCATTTAACATACGACCTAAAACTAGGAAGGAAAAGAATAAACTAGCTTCTAGAGCTTGCCGGTTAAAGAAAAAAGCACAACATGAAGCCAATAAACTAAAACTGTATGGTTTGCAACAAGAACACAGTAAGTACCACACACCAATTAATAGAAAAATTAAGTTGTTTGGTCCATAATTGACAAACTTTCAAACTCAAAATTATTTATTCATATAGAACCCCTCAGCCTCTTATATTTTACCACTATCCCTATCATCCAGTTTGACAAGCTATTTCACTTTACTGGCAAGAAAATGAATTGATACATTGTATTATTCAATTTTTAATTGCTATGACGTTAGTTGTTTAGACAAAATATTGTCCCAAATAATCACTTATGGAGTAGTAAAATATTTTTGAATGGGTATTTCTAGCAGCTTGAAATAGATAACAGTTGACAGGCACATCTTTGTGAAATGTCCTACAGAATATTGTGTTAAATGACTTTACAATGTGCTTTTAGGACGTCTACTTAATGGAATTTCTCAAATGAAACAAGTTTTAAGCAACCGAGTAACTAATCAGAATCAGAACAAAGTTGACTGGAACAATCATATCAAAGGCATTGTTACTAATGCTACAGGTATGTTTTACTATGAATAGATAATATTTTCTTTTACTTTTTATTTATCTAAATACTTATATCTGATTTGATGTGACTACTAGGAATATTCATAGAAACTACTAAGAGTTTCGGTAGTCTTCTCATGAATTAGTTCAACCACTCATGACTCATGAAGTAGTTTTTACTAAATAAAGTTGCTATCTTTATTATATACATCTTTTCATGCTTTCCTAAATTAATACAATGGCAGGTTCAAATCATATTTCTTGATTATTTATTAATATTAACCAATGTTGTCACACTGCTGGACAAAGGTCTTCCCAATTTCTCTCTCCATCAAACCATGCCCAGTTGTATGTGTTTAGGTAATTATATTACACCATTGGCACCTGGGCCGTCCACTGTCCATCTTAAGGTGCCAACAACAAATCCAAAAATCTGGATTTGAATTTAAAATATCAGGACAATTTAGTTTAAGAACAGGAAGCAGTAATAGAGTTGCAATAGTAAAATTAACATGAAATAGACAACACTGCCAACCCATAGAAAGAATTTAGGAGAATTTTTAAATGAATTGATCGAGATTTTCTGGGAAGCGTTCAAGGTCCCCCTGAGCTTGAGGGCCCCGGGTACTGCCCCGCCTAGCCCCTAGGTAGCTATGCCACTGGTTAATTCCCGTAACACAAGCTCTGGTTAGCGTAGGACTAGATAGTGCTGTGTTAATTGTCCTAAATAAAAATAGTTAAATATACCTATTTTCTTTTATTGTATAATGCAAATAAAAATATATTCTATGTAATCTATATATCTACCATTTTTACCCACAATAAATATAGATCATAGTAGTCAATTTTCTTTTTATATTTGTTGCAGAGGTGAAAATAGCTGGTAAAACATCAGAATTCGTCAACAAAATTCTGGACAATGTTAAATCTGGCCATAGCAATGGTGGTTTGAATGATTTATAAGAGGTAGTTACAAATGGATGTGAATAATAAAACAAAAGGCTGTTCTATGTACCTCCAAAGTTATTTAGAAAAAGAGTTTTATGTCTATCTTTAAAAGTTTAACTGTCCAAGACAAGTTATTTTTGTATGGTATCAAGAATAATTTTAGTCATTAGAAGCTTTATAAGGCAACTAAGATGAATATATCTATGGTATATTTAGTTTTAATTTTTTCATTCTCATATGTTAATTATTATCATAGTTACTTAAAAACCGGTTACTACGTTGAATATACCAAAATTTTTATGTCTGAGATATTTTATTATCAATTTTGTTCTTTGAATAGGTACCTGTCGATTATATTAGATTTAAGATCACTTTATCCACAAAGTCAGTATAATTTTAAATTATATATGTTTAACATATAAATTTGTATATAAATTGTTAATATTTGTGATAATTTCACATTTATTTTTATACTATATTTTATAATATTTAAACATGACATAATATAGCTTTAGGCGTTAATAAAAATATGCATGCCACCGCATAGATAGGGTGGAGAGAAAGCATTTGACATATTGTTGCGTTTTTATTATATTACTAAAGCAATAATTATAACTGTATATCAACTGACTATATATGCTAATGAATTAATTCTCGAAAAAATAATATTTGTTATCTACTCTCAGTATTTTCACGTTCAAACCTCTCATCATCATACAGTTGTCCATTATTCATTAATCTAGTACCACTGGTTTGTAGCATGAAAGTGAGTCTTTACACTAACATGAAAACAAACAGGCAATTGTCTATTTGTTAGCATTAATCTATTAACACGCATCGCGAATTATTATTCACATGAATTTAGTTCTGCATTAACAATTTTTCCTCAAATTATGTAAGTATTAATTATTTTCGCGGAACTTTATTTCTTAGCACTGCATGTAGCTTCATATATGACTTAAAATTTAAAGTTAAAATAATATAGATACCGAAATTATCATTATGGTACTAGAATTGTCTGTTAGCGCTATGGACGGAATTAATATTATAAAAAAATCGATAATATAAATGCGTTTATATTTGTTTCGTTCTTAATTCTGGCAGTTTTTTTAATATATCATTATAATATATTAATGAATATTAAATTTATTCAACTACAGATTTATATTGTTTAAATTGCACGGGGCCAAGCCACGGGTAGCAACTGGTTTATAAGTAAGTTAATCTGTTTATAAGCAAAGTAATACGATTATTATAATGGATACAAGAAATTTGTTTACAAAAAAATATATTTGAAAAGTTTAGTTATTGTTTTTCTTTGGGTTTGTTAAAATAAAATTTATTGTTATGTTCTAATAATATAAGGATTGTGTTATATGTTTTTATTATAATAATTTTAAATTCATGCCATTTTTTGCTGTTAATTTAGTGTATCAAAAACTTAGTTATATTATTATTGATATTGGATTGATAAGGTTTATTATTAAATTCTACATAATTTAAGTACAAAGGAAAACGTACCGTTGACAACGATCGATTAAAAGTTCAAGGGATACCTTTAATGAAATATATAGGTGGATTAATATCATGTCTAATGTCCTTATAATAAATGTAAATAAATATTTGGTTAAAATCATTAATGTCGCTTAATGTTACTTATTACTTTTTCTGGTGTTAGTACCAGATATCCCAAGAGTTTATAAAAGTGATATGCTATGTTATGTATTTATTGTTTAACTGTGATATTTACCTGCAATTAAAAACTTATACAGACACCAAATCATATGAAATATTCGAAATTACTATTATAAGAGTAAATATACTTTATAGACGATTAATTTAACTTCACAAATACATTGATACCATGTATTTAATACTAATTGGCAGTTTTGGCTTATTGTGTTTGTCATATGTTATTGGACATTGCTTATAAAATGCTACACATTTTATAATGTATATATATCACAGCCAAATGGTGTATTAAATCTGCGTCATTACAACTCCTCAAAGCGTGTTTTCAAAAGTTGCTAGCCATTAGTAGCCATTAAATAATTGCAGAGAATATTCCATAATATTTGGCTGTGAAATATATTATGTAGATACTACGATGTTTGTAAATATAGGTAATATAGACATACATTATTTTAAGTGAAAAATATTTTTAGATGAAGTCAAAGATTTATATATAAAAGATAAATATTTAAGAATATCATACATGTACGTGAATTATGTGTATTGAGCGTGTATTCGTTCATTATTTTTTTATAATCGTTTGTTAACAAATAATACGTCTTTTTTTTCATCCGTACTTGTAGTTGAAGTTACGGTTGTATCTTATCAATTTTTATTAGTGCTAACCTGGAGGCTGTCTCTTGATGTTAAAGAAAATTCAAAAAGTTAAGGGTATTCTTGAAAATGGGTGATTATATATCATAAAAGAGCAATGAAATAATAATTTCATGTTAAAGTAAAATATGTTTATTGACATAATATTATGTACAGATATTATGTATAACGTCAGTTAGGAAGCAATTCGGGTATCGCAAGTTGTAAAGAAAAAGATAAGCATGCATTTAAAAGGGGAGTATTGTTACGAGGTTTCCGCCAGTTTTATTTAAAGCCTATTTAAGCATATATTTACAAATTATAATTTTAGATACTTATACATATTACAATGTTATGAAATTATTTTAATTTATATCTTGTAGCAATTCCATTCTTATATGGTATAGTACCTACCTATTAAGTAAAATAATATCTATTCGATTCCATTACATCAAAAGACAGCCTGTTGATATCAACTGCGTTAAAAACTTAAAATACATTACTGTTTAATCTTAAACGGGTTATCTGAAAAGTAATATAATAAGCGCTTTTACATTTCCGTGTCTTCCCGACAATATTCAATATTCATCGACGCTGGTAGGTATTATAGGATTTAATTAATCTGTCTCTTATCAAAGTATCTATTTTAGCCTAAGAACAATAACTTATTGTTCTTACTAGACTTAACTTATTGTTCTAGCTAAAATTTGAAATTATAATAAAGATCTGACAGCATAGTATTATACGCAAAATCATTAATTGCTGTAATTTGTAATTTAGTTCTTCAGGCCCGTTATATTGGTTTTATATAAGGATATTGTACTAAGTTACTATGAGAACAATATTCAATTAAAATTTCATACACCAGTGTTAAATTGTACCAATTGTATAGTTTATCAAGAATCTAGGTAATATTTTATCATTTATTAAATGTCATATCATTTACTTGGACTTTAGTGACACCTGTAAAAAAAATAAAGTGAACAAAATTTGCAGAATATGCTTTTTATTGAGGTATCCCTAAAAAAATAAGAAAAACATTCGAACCATTACTATTATAATAAACGATAGTTTTCCGAGTCTCGAATGGTTTTTAAATACTTTGTAAATACATTTTTATAAGGCTCAATGAAAAGCATTTTTAGAGTATAATTTTTATATATCATTATATGTACCTATTGATTTTATTCAATACATAGTTGTGGACTGGAACTAAGAATTGGACTGCTTCGCTGTAATTATAATTCTACTTTTGTTCCATAACTTGTACCTACTGATAATCATAAGAAATTCCTACGCCCAACAACATAATTAATAAATTTATTAGTTTTATAGTTATATTATAAATCTGTCTGCTGTAATCATTAGCCACCTAGCTTTCTTATTATTGCGAGAAACTATATAAATGTACGGCATGTTATTAGGATAGGTATACGTAGCTTAGTTCTTATTTTTTATATAATTTTCTTTTGTTAGTACTTTAGGTAAATATTTCTTTGTTGCAAATTAATAATAGCTACGTATTTAGATATGACATACAGTCTGCACAAAGAAAACTAGTCATTTCCGGTAACACCATTTTTTATATCTACTTGTACAAGTAGCACATATTAAAAGTGATATTTCAATTTTTGTGTGCATATTGCTCTTGCCAGATAGACTACATTAAATCCTTACTATTGTCTATTATCTTAAAAACACAAACTGACAGTAATATTAAAAGATAATCCTGTATAACTTTTTCAGGTCCCTTTTTCATATTTTTTACCGTACATTAAATGTTTTTATTTTCAAAGTGAAGTTAAATTTACTTGCAAACTCATTTTACTTCCCTTTGAAAATAAAGAATGTTTACTACTTGATGGATTTAATTTGGGCTACGATCAATTAACACTGCCTGATGATGTTTCGTTCAGAGGCGAAACACGTGTCGGAATGTGGGTGTTGAGTCGGTCGGAATTTGATCACTAATAGAGAAGGTCGTACCACTTCCAGTAAGAGTAGTCAAGTTTTGGCACTGAATATTTGTGACCCCACTGCTAATGGCGGAATTGAACAAAATAACAAATCTATTAAGTTATGAAATAGAGTTCCATAAAATAAAAATGTCTACTTTAGAAAAAAAAGTGACAAGGCAAGTCCTATTTGAACATCAAAAGGATCGCTGTTCAAAATCTTTTAAACATTTCGGTTTCTTTATATCATATATTTAAGTAGGTATGAAATGATTTTTAAAAAATACGTATAAAAATGTACAACGGATTCTCTTACTTTAAGTAAAATGTGATTATAAACTCTCACCACTTGTATTTGTGGAGGTTTATGCTGATTTCTCAATATTAGGAACATCGCAATATTATCGTGAATATTATATTTTTATGCTTCAGAACTTCTCAAATAATGGAGAAAATTATAAAATAATACTCTTTTACTCACGTCTTGTTTTAATTAATATAGAAATAAAAAAGTATAAGCTGAATGTACTTAGGGACCTATGTAAACAACTATGATAAATAGGTTTCGTAACTTATAGTAGGTTCTCATGAGAGATGCCATGGACATTCAGTGTGACTTCCTATTATTTTTACATGGAAAACGAGAGTTCCACCGTGGATTGACTTTGAGTGTGCAGAGAGAGATAACAACTGCGTTAGTAGTTTTGCACAGAACTGGACTGTCACATTTATAACGTATCTAGTTATTTGAATATTTATGTGTCGGGCACGTAGCTCCCAGTCCTGGTTATGTTAGTGCTCTTAAAATACCGGAATACACATATCTATTTGTCTGCCTTGTGTAAACAAAAAAAGATTTGGTGAAGAATAAATGAAATCTAACAGTTTCTTATAAATTAATAAAGATTCTTCATTGTGCATAGTACCTAAGTATAAGTACAAAAGAACAATGCATTGATGAGCCCAGCAAAAAGCGGGCTTGTCGATTAAAACTATTTTTATGGACTACCTTAATATAGTGCTGCCAATAAGAATTGAGACAAGCCAATAACTTTGTTTAGATTATATAATTTTACGAATCCTGTCATTTCACCCATTTGTTAGTTTAAAATAAAATAAAAAATCGCAACACATCATGATCATTGTTTAGTTGGCAATTATCAGTCTTTATATATAAATAGGTATTCATTAAACGGACAAAACCATGCATGTATACATTAATATGGTAAAACGTCATGACAGTGGCGTGAAATCTGATAGTTCGTGCCTTCCAATTTTATAATACTTAGTAATATATATATCTATTGAATATTGTATCCCCATTTCAAATAGGCCATTTGCGTATATATACTTTGACTATTATTTGTATTTATTATTTTAATATTAGCCAGTGTTCCTTCCATTCAGCCTATTTTATCAATATTACTTTATATGTGCATATTGTATAAAGGTAACGTCTTAACTTTTTAACTTTTATAATACATTGTACAAATTTATTACAGCTGTAACCATTCCATAAAAGATAAAAAACATGACACTGAAGATCAAGACATACCTGACAAGGGAGTTTTTTGTATGATTTCTTAATATCATACAAATCTACACTAACAACTTTTTCAGAAGTAGGTAGGTAAAATATATGTATTTTTTCTTGTATTATCGAGCACTGACAATTTTACGGACCTGAGTGAACGACGCCTTATAAATTAATGCGTACTTTAATGATATCGTTAGGTATATTCAAATATATTATAACATAGGTAGATATAGTTTTATGTCTAATAGACCTGCATTAAATAATTTCATGTATTTATGAAGTTGTATCCTGTAATAGATATTAATTATAGACTGCCTTTTGCGAATACTCTTCAATGTAGATATATAACTGAATTGAACTAATAAGTATCTAACCTTAAATAAAAAAATGTGAGTTCAATGATTAGATGAGTAATAAATCAAGTCAAAAGCCGGTTGTAATATTTATGAAACTGAAAAACTTTTCCAAATAAGTAATGTGGATTTTAAGGATGAAGTTATTGTATAGACCTATATAGCTTAGTACATGTTAAATCGATGCGATATTAATCTACTCGCATCGATTTAACATGTAAAGTTTAGTTTTAGAGCTTTTATATATAGAATAAATATAGAAGCGACATAAAATTTCACTTAAAATTCATTGAACAAATATTAAGTATTTCAATTAAACCTAATTCGATTCTGGTCTGCGATCATAGGCTGTGTTATTTTTATGAAATCAATGTTTTTTTTTATTTCATTTATGATTTTGTGGTAGGTACCACAAAATCATAAATGAATACGCAAGTAACTACTTACATAGAATCGGCATGAGCTATAAGTTAACAGATATTATTGTAGTAGATAAGAGTAACGGCTTTAGCTGTTTCCACAATTAATTTTGTTTTGTATACTTATAGATGTTAAATAAATAAGGTAGATATATAATTCTTTAATTTTCCCATCTATTCCTATTATCTATTGTACCTAACTGTGAGGTACAATTCATGTTTATATTATGGGCTGACAAAAACAACCACGATGTAGAGAAAAATAGGTATAATTTACGAGGTTATATTTTTTGGTCAATAAGAGAAAATAAAGTTCTAAACTGATTATTGTTTAAAAAATTGTAATAATTTTTTGATACCTATTACCTACTGTCGTCCGGTATGGTCTACAGGTAACTGTTTAGTGATAGTTTATTAAAATTTGGCTTTAATAAGACATTATTTATATAATACAACATACCCCTATCTTTAATTAACCAAAAATTTATAACTCTTCTATTTTCTCTTATTAGAATAGAATAGAATAGAATAGAAAATCATTTATTCAAATAAACTTAATTTAAGCACTTTTGAATAGTCATAACAATTTGTTTTTTATCTACCACTCGTTCGGAAAGCTGTCTCATCACAAGAAGAACGAGCAAGAAACTTGTGTGTTGCTCTTTTAAATAAAAGTTTACATTTACAAGTCGATGTGAATACAAACTACCAACAAGTATTTTTTTGGGTCAAATATAATCATGCAATAAGATTTAATCAGTCGTAGTGATAAGAGCAGACCAGTCCCTACAAGCAGCACTCGTTCACATATGACGGATGAGTAAAAAAGCGCTCGACATATTTTATCTGGACATTTTATGAGCATGACTACTCATTCCACACGACCACGTCACAGCTACAAAAATTACTATATGGTAGTTACAGTATTCGTTTACATAAGGCATGTCAATACAAAAGCCGCTACGCTATCATATATCAAGAAAGTATGAAAATTAAAATTATAACACCGCAAATAAACTTATTCTTGCTATATATTGCTATCATCTATAAATTCATCTATCTTATAATAGGCTTTTTTACATCATTTGTTTAATATAAGATTTGAATTGCCTCTCTGTAAGATATATAGTTTATTATAGAATCTTACGCAATTACCATATGATAAACACAAAAAATTCATTTTTATTGTCACAGTCTTTAAGTTTCTTGAAACTATATAAGTTTTTAGTTGTTTACATAATATTTTCATAAATGTACTGTGAGGCAACGGTGAGGATATTTGATTGTTTAAAGCATTGACGTAATGACTCTCTAGAACCCATACCATAAATAGAACGTTTTGTAAAATAAATATAGTATTTATATCGGCAGCTTTACCCCATAGCAGTATGCCATATGACATAATGCTATGGAAATAACTAAAATATACAAGTTTTGCCGTCGCCAATATCCTTCTAATTGCATAAGCAGCAGAACTAAGTCTACTGGCTAATTTTGAAATATGGGGCCCCCATTGTAACTTCGATATATATCATTAACAAAATTTACTATTTCATCATTAAGCAATAGCTGCGTATTTACTTGTTTTACATTAGGCAGCGTGAATTTAATGCACTTAGTTTTGTTGGAGTTCAATAATAGATTATTACATGTGAACCAATTTAGTATAGCAGAGATAGCATAATTTACATCGTCCAATTGATTACATTGGCGACCAATTTTAAACACTAACGAAGTATCATCCGCAAATAACACTATATCTGCAACTTTCTCTACCATGTAGGGAAGGTCATTTATATAAATTAAAAAGAGAAGTGGGCCTAATATTGAACCTTGAGGAACTATTAATAACTATTGCATGGATAGTCGCTCTACCCGCGATAACAAAAACAATATTTATGTATTTACTTACGCCACGCTATACATATAAGTAAAAAAGTGACATATATGTATACTGTAATAGCGTAGATTGATACATACAGTATGTAGGTATGTAATACAACCCTAGTATTAGGTATACACAATGTCCATAACTGATAAATCAACATCAACGGTATATACCTACCTATATAAACACAAAATTCAGTCAGTCGTTATCCTGCTAACTAAAATACAGTTCAACTGGTTTCTGCCTACCACACGACACGCCTGTTGTACCCACAAGGACTAATATTCATGCGCGTCTGTAATATAAGTAATGATCATTAAACTGTAAGATATATATTTTTTATAGTTTAGGGGACAAACGAGCTTGCGGCTCGCCTGATGTGTGATTACCGCCGCCCATGAGCACCCGAAACACCAGGGGAATTGCTATACAATTGCTGGAATGTAATTTCACAATGTATTAGTACGTGGCAGTTACTAGAAAACCGTGTAGGTGAAGGACAGCCATTAATCCAGTAATCAGGATGGTATTATCTGGCCGGTGGTACGATAGTGTTATTCAGCAGCTGCTATTAATCTGAACAATTCCTCAGAACACTCATCGCAATATATGCGGTAGAAAATGCCGATATGGAATATCTCGCCGCAAAGCCTATGGTGCGAGTCTGTCACAAAGAAGTTGATTACCAATGATTCTGGCTGGTCGGTTCTGAATGCGCTCAATTGCAAGTAGATGGTATCGTGACAGATTTATTTTCCCGAGAGAAATAGAATTGACTAAACTGATTGTTGTTGTAGATTGACTACTAGTATGTCTACTTAGGTATACTCCAAGCACAAAATACAGTGTAAATTAAAAAACAAATAGCACTTGATAATTTATAGTCCCTATCTTTTAAATAGTATTTCTTTGAAGTCTCTGCTTAGAAAACCATTCTTCTTGTTTCTTGTTTTTCTTTTATTGTTTACATTTAACAATGGTCTTTGCTTTATGGCAAAAGATCATATCTAATAATTCAAGATTAGGTAGCTGTATTATTGTCTTTATTTTAATTTGAATACATTATTTTTTTATTATTTTAGATTATATTAAACATATAAATTAGAATTTAATACATTGCTTGGCTTGGTGTGACCACTTTGAAGAATGTCCAGTTCCTTTAGTAGTGATTGAATTGTTTCAATTTGATAATCTTCAGCATATTCAATATATGAAACAACTGCTACACCAGATTGACCCAAGTGCTCCCGTAGGGAAATTACTGAAATATAATATATCTTTTTATTCTTAATTGCTATGCTAAACAGCAGGATAGCTTTATGCATATACATAGCTGTCTATGGTATGGTAAATAGGTGATAAAATTAGTGCAAGCACACAAATCTATATCTTTAAAAAAGAAAAAAATGGGAAGTGAAAGTGAGTTAAATGCAAAACAAGTAAAAATTGTTATTATCCATGAAATTAATATATTTCAATTACTGTAATATTAATAACTCATATTTACCTCCTGCAGATACACCAGATATTAAATTTGGCTGTTCTAATTTTGGAAAATTGTACTTAATAAATTTTGAAGGTTTGGTTGTATGTATTGTTCTGACTATACAATCTTTATTGAAATATTCAGATGACTGATATTCTGAAAGTGACTTTGTCAGTATTGTTATTACATTTTGGGCTATAGAGAGATATGGTTTCAAAATGTGAACTATGTCGCTGCTGAGTATTAAATTGTAGTCTTTTATAAAGCAAATTAAATTATCTTCTGATTTAAATAAACTCAGATTCACTTCTTTAATTGAATTAACAAATTCTAAATTAGATTTTATGTGTGTATTGACTATATCTGACAAATATTTTCCTTCCAATATAATTAATGTTCCTACTTCTTTAATAATTCCAATATCTTGCTGCCAATGTAATCTGAAAAAACATTAAAAGAATATAATTTTTCTAAGGTACAAGCAGCACAAACATTATTTATATATAAAAAAAATTAGGTACCTCAATTAAGGTAATATATTTATATACATACTTGCTTAAGTATGTATATAAATATATTACCTTAATTGATTACCTTCAACAAGTGTTGCTTATCCATCACTTGTTGAAGGTCAAAGCAATGCAATCTCTGACGAATATTATCTAGCATTGCAATCATATTCATTCATCAAGAAAGGTTCATATAGCGTATTTGTATTTAAAATACAATGACTAATTTTCGATTTAGGTTAACTTTAATCATTTTCGTAAAGCACATGCAATACCTCTTTATCCACACTAGCCATTGATATGAATATAGTATTGAATTATTAATTAAAACTAGATTTACCCATTATTAGGCTTTAATAAACTAAAAATTGTACACGACTATTTGACAGATAAAATGTAACTAAAATCTTCTTATATTTAATAGCTTCACGACATTCACCCGTGCCTTAGAAATCTGTTTGATAATCTTGGAACCGATTAGGTGGGCGACGTAGCCTGGTGGAACGACGTGAAGATATATTTGCCTCAGCAGGGGATGGAAGTGCAGGAAATTGATCTGTAAGAGATTGATTAGTAGGAGATTCTTCTGCGGGAGATTGGTCTGTTAGAAATTGATCAGCAGTAGATTGATCAGCATTAAATGATTCAGTTTCTGCGTTCGGGTTCTGTTCTCTTACAGGTTCATTTAACAAAGGAGGATTATGGAGCCAAGTACCTATTTGAAATTGTAGTTTCTCGACCATTCTGCAAACGCACTTGAGAATAATGTGGGTTTACATTAAGTACCTCTACTTCTTCTACAAACGGATCGTACTTACTCTTCCTCACAAGATTTTTCATGAACACTGTACTTCCTTCCGTTAGCCGTGTTGGCATTGATTGGCCATTGGATGACCTTCGTGGATGAGAAAACATTCTCTCGTGGGGTGTGCACCCAGTACTGGTGCATAATAATGAACGAATGCAATGTAATGTCTGAGTAATAGCTGACTCCCAATCACATATAGGTAGCTTAAGAGACATAAGTGATAGTTGAATAGTTTTCCAAATAATTCCATTATAACGCTCTGTTTGGCCATTTCCTTGAGGATTATAAGGTGATGAATAACTTGTAGCTACTCCTAAGCTACATAAAAATTCCTTTAATTCTGATGAGACAAAGGATGTTCCTCGATCAGAATGCACAAAGGTGGGTCCAAAGATTGCAAATAATTGAGTTAATTTTCTTTTAACGGTTTCAGCTGTTAAATCTGGACATGGAAAGGCAAATGGGAAACGAGAATATTCGTTTACTACAGTTAGAATATACTTATTTTGAGTTCTACTTGGAAGAGGCCCCTTAAAGTCCAGCTATGACAGTATGTGCTCGTGACAATGCGTCGGCCACGACATTTTCTCTTCCCGGTCGATATATGATGTCAAAGTTGTAACTACTTAATTCAAGACGCCAACGCTGTATCTTCTCATTTTTGATCTTTGATGTATGTTGCTGGTTAAACATGAATGATATAGAACGTTGATCTGTAATCAGTTTGAATGTTCGTCCTATTAGTAATTGTATCCATTTTCTCAAACTTTCTACAATTGCCGAGGCCTCCTTTTCAATAGCAGGGTGACCCCTTTCGGTAGCAGAAAGTGTTCTTGAAAAGAAAGCTACTGGCCGACCTTCTTGAGATAACGTAGCTGCAATAGCGTAATCTGAAGCGTCAGTTTCTACAGTCATTTGTATGCCGCTTTCAATAGCAGCTGCTGTAGATTTAGCTATCTCTATTTTAAGATCTTCAAATGCTTTTATAGCGTCCTCCGTAAGCGGAAATGTATTATGATTGACAAATGGTTGTATTTTGTATGAGAATTTAGGAATCCATTTAGCATAATGCGCAAACATACCTAGTGCTCGTCGCAAAGAAACAGAATCAGTAGGAATTGGTAGTTCTAGGAAAGGGCGTAAACGTTCCGGATCAGGTTTAATCACTCCGTTACATATGTTGTATCCCAGAAGATTTATAGTAGTCTTTGAAAATTCACTTTTTGTCACGTTTAATGTAAGATTATATTTTGTAGAAATCTCTTCAAATTTTTTAAGTTTTTCATCGTGATCAGTCTGATTTATCCCACAAATCGTGATATCATCGAGATAAGCATAAACTCCTTCTAATTGCTCTGATTTTATGATATTATTAATTGCACGTTGAAATCCGGCCACTCCATTGGTGACACCAAACGGAATTCGTCGAAACTGATATAAATTTCCTCCTGCTTCGAAGGCAGTATATGATTTTTCGCTTTCCAATATAGGTACTTGATGATACGCGCTTTTAAGGTCTATTTTACTGAATATTTTATGTTTAGATACCTTTACCTTAGCTATAACATCTTCAATAGAAGGGAGTGGATATGCATCTAATAAAGTAAATCTATTTATTGTTTGTGAATAATCTATAACCACACGTTTTTTATGGTGTTCACTACTAGTAACAAGGACTTGTGCTCGCCATGGAGACTGACTAGGTTCAATTATTTTATCTTTTAATAACTTTTGTATCTCTTCATCTATAAATTTTTGATCCATCTCTGACTGTTTCCTAGATCGAATCGCAATAGGTTTCTCGAAAGGTAGTAAATTACTGAATAAGCTAACAGGTTTTATTTTGGCTTCTATAAGAGTACATAATTGAAGCGAGGGTTTAAAACCACCAAATTGCATTTCTAATGATTTATGTTCACTTAACATATCATGACCGAGAATAACATCAGAACATAATCCTTCCATCACCATAAGATTGACTTCCACCTTTTGTTTTTGTATTTCTATAGTTAATGCACATCTGCTTTTTACATGTGATATAAGGTTTGACTTGGCCATTGTTATCTTTTGGTGATATGGTGTTTCAATTAAATCATAGTGGTTAACCAGTCGTTTGTCAATAAAACTAGCTGTACTGCCTGTATCTATTAGTGCTCTAGCCATAATTTTGTTATTGATAATAATAGGAACAGTCGCTTTACTTAAATCTGCAGCAGATAGTATGCAGGAGAGTGTTTCGATTGACTGATTTTCGTTGGAGGTAGCTGCGTTGCGTTGAGATTTATTTCGACAGACTTTAGCAAAATGACCCCTCTTACCACATGAAAGACACGTTGAACTGGCTGCTGGACAGAATCTTCGTGGATGTCTTTTTTCTCCACAAAAGTAACAAGACTCAAACATATTTCTATAATTTGGTGTTGCAGCAACGGTGACATCAGTATTCTTATTGTCAGCAGACATAGAATCCTTTAAAACTGGAATATTAGAACAGTTATTTGTATTATTTATTACAGGATTAGTGTTACGTAGATAATTCTGATTATGAATTTCCGCTAACTCCAGTGATTGAGCTTGTTGGAAGGCCGCATCTAGGGTTAAAGTACTATTTTCTAACAGTCTTTGACGTATTACAGGTGACACCAGTCTGCCTATGAAAGCGTCTCTTATGTATTCACTTTCATTCTGTTCTGCTGTAACTTTATGGAAGTTACATTCTTTCGACAATAGTTTAAGAGCTTGTATATATTGATGAACTGACTCACCGGATTGCTGATATCGCTTCATAAGACGATGTCTTGAATAGATTTCGTTTACAGGTTTTGTAAATAATTGATTTAATTTAAGAATCGCTGTAGTGTAGTTGTTACATTCTTTGATATGTGCATAAAGAATCGGCGATAAGTAATTGACTAATTTTGGTAGTGCTGCTCTGGAGTAATAGGATTATCCTTAGTATTTATAGCACTAATAAAATTTTCAAAAGTTTGTTTCCAATGTATCCATAGCGGAGATTCATCAATACTTGCTGACGGATCTGCATCGAATCTTTCGGGTCTTAGATACTTATCCATTATAGATTATAAGTAATTTTTAGTTTATTAAATTGATATGAATATAGTATTGAATTATTAATTAAAACTAGATTTACCCATTATTAGGCTTTAATAAACTAAAAATTGTACACGACTATTTGACAGATAAAATGTAACTAAAATCTTCTTATATTTAATGGCTTCACGACAGCCATCAATATTGTTGAGACAGGTGTTGATGATATTAAGTTTTATAAAAAGGATCATATTTCTATATACCCTTACAAAAAGTACACTTACTCAATTAAATCAGTTCCTGGTATAATTTCATCCCAGTCTTCCCAGGCTGATCGACTAATAGGTTCAGATATTTCACCAAATGTAGTCATATTTAAAAATTTGAAATAAATGTAAACTATAAGGAAATTTTAAAAATGTATTACTATATTTATTTTATGAAGTAGAAAAAATTCAAGATAAGTAGATCTTCGTATGAAATAATGTGCGTAACGACATTTGACGTTAGTAACTTAAGACAGATAAGATAACCACAGTTTAGCTCAACAGCAGTCCACAGTGCTACCAATATATTAATCTAAAAACAAACCGGTTTTTAACCTAAATTAATATTCAATCAATTATTTTTTTGTTTTTAAAATGCTTTTAAAGTACTGCGAACGGCAAAATATATGTTGAAATAGTTTCAAAATTTTGATACATTTCCTTGAAGTATAAAATAAAATGTCGTAATTATTCTATTAAATAAAATTGGTAATGAGTACAACATAGTACATAGCTATTTTTCGTATATTTCTCGTAGCTATTGAATTTAAAATATTTTTACATTTGTAGAAACAGAAAAATGTCTACATATCGATATTTTGTTAAAATCTGTGAATAAGGTGCAACCTTACTAATTTATTACTCTATAAAAAAACTACTAAATTATACCTACTTATGGTAGATTTTCTTTGGTTTCGTTTTAGTTGAATTGAAAGAATCTCAGAATAAATAATAAACACAATTTGTTATGAAGAATTTTATGCTAGTTCTTATATAGATTCCAAATAGATTAATTATTCAGTCAGTTATGTTAAAGGTAAGATTTAATATTTATTAATAACACTAGTGTCTTCATTCACATTTCTGTATTACTTACTTACAGGACAAGGGACAAGTCACTTTTGAGGACAAATGGCCCTCTATGCGCCCAATTGTACTCAAGCTTTTGAAACAGGAACCGGTGACACAAACCGAATGGCAAGATCTTTTTGTAGCTGTACATTCCGTTTGTCTTTGGGACGAAAGAGGGCCGTACAAAATTAGAGATGCTCTTCAACAAGATGTAATGATGTACATAAAACAAGCCCAAGTCCGCGTTTTGGCTCAGCGAGAGGATCAGGCTCTACTGAAAGCATATATCGCAGAATGGGGTAAATTTTTTACCCAGTGCAATTACCTACCTACACCATTTCGTCAGTTAGAAAATTCAATAAATAACATAAGTAAAGTGACTAGTTCCAATACAAATGCACAGAAAAAGAATAATAACAATAACATAGAGGACAGTTTGGTACGTAAATTGATGTTGGACTCTTGGAATCAGAGTATATTTATGGATATTAAACAGAGATTGCAAGACTCTGCAATGAAATTAGTGCAGGCTGAACGTAATGGTGAATCATTTGATTCACAACTTGTTATAGGAGTGAGGGAATCCTATGGTATGTATTTTTTCCTCTTTTTCTTTTGGATTTTATTGTAAATAGTGGATTAAGCAAAATAAAATAAATATTTAACTTAGAACATAATAGATTTGATTAAACAACATGTTTTAATGTTATTTAAAGTCTATGCCATATAATATTTAATTTTTATTTATATATTTCAGTTAATTTATGCTCAAATTCCATTGATAAATTACAAATATATAGAGATAATTTTGAAGCAGCTTACATGCAAGCCACAGAAGAATTTTATAAATTGAAAGCTAATGAACATTTGTTAGCGAATGGAGTGCAGTCGTACATGAGATATGCAGATCAAAGGTTAAAAGAAGAAGAAGCCAGGGCTCACAGGTATCTAGAACCTGGTAGTGGTAGTGTGGCTGCACTCACACAATGCTGTGAGAAAGTGTTGATCGGAGAACACCTGTCAACATTATTGGCTGAGAGTGCACCATTAATTAAAGCTGGAGAAACAGACAAATTACAGCTTATGTTTCGTCTTTTAGATAGGGTACCCGAGGGAGTTACACCCATACTTCGGGACCTCGAGGCTCATATTGTTTCTGCTGGATTAGCAGATATGGTTGCATCAGCAGATATTATTACAAGTGATTCTGAAAAATATGTTGAGCGATTACTGGATTTATTTAAAAGATTCAGTGCTCTAGTTAAAGATGCATTTTTTGATGATCCCAGATTTTTAACTGCTAGAGATAAAGCTTATAAGTGTGTTGTAAATGATACAACAGTTTTTAAGTTAGAGTTACCATCGTCAGCTCTCATACGTGGCAGTAAAGGTACAGCACCAGAAAGTAAGTGCCCCGAGCTTCTGGCAAATTACTGCGATATGTTATTACGTAAAACACCTCTAAGTAAACGCTTGACTACTGAACAAATAGAATCTAGACTGAGGGATGTGTTGTTAGTCCTAAAATATATTGAAAATAAAGATGTATTTATGAGGTATCACAAAGCACATTTAACCAGAAGGTTGATATTAGATTCTAGTGCTGATTCAGAAAAGGAAGAGGATATGGTTGAGTGGCTTAGAGAAGTAGGAATGCCTGCAGATTATGTCAATAAGCTTGCTCGAATGTTCCAAGATATTAAAGTCAGTGAAGATCTTAATATACAGTTTAGAGGTGAAACTACACGTCATGATGCTATCAATATAAAAATTCTAAATGCTGGAGCATGGGCCCGGGGATCTGAAAGAGTAACTGTAAGTCTTCCCTTAGAATTAGAAGACTATATACCAGAAGTAGAAGAGTTTTATAAAAAGAAACATTCTGGGCGTAAATTGCAATGGTATCATCATATGAGTAATGGTACTATTACTTTCGCTAATTCTGTGGGCAGGTTTGATCTTGATGTTACTACATTTCAAATGGCTGTTTTATTTGCTTGGAATCAAAGACCTCTGGAGAAGATAAGCTATGAAAATCTGAGGCTTGCTACTGAACTTCCAGATCCAGAAATGAGAAGAACATTATGGTCTCTAGTAGCCTTTCCCAAACTTAAAAGGCAGCTATTGTGTTATGAACCTGCAGTACAAAATCCTAAGGACTTTATGGAAAATACTACCTTCTGGGTCAATCAAGAGTTTGCATTAATAAAAAATGGAAAACCACAAAGGAGAGGTAAAATAAACTTGATTGGAAGGCTTCAGTTAAGTACTGAGCGTTCACAATTGGAAGATAATCATTCAATAGTACAGCTCCGAATTTTAAGAACTCAGGAGGCCATCATAAAGATATTGAAAATGAGAAAAGGCATAACCAATACTGCTCTCCAGGTGAGTAATTAATAATGTAACATGTAAAGTACTAGACTTACACTGGTAACGATGATGTGTATGTGTGCTGGGATGATGTGGAATTTAATATTTTTACTGCAAATGAATATTAATTAATCCAATTTATTCTCACAAAAAAATAATTTCAGAAATCACTGACTCTATTATTGTTAGATATTTAAAAACTGCATACTAATTATTAATAAACAATGTCATATTAGTAGGCTTGTTATCCTATTTCTGACAATGTACTGTATATCCTGATGTTCAGCATCTGATAACTAAGTTGATTATGTCCTTATTCTATCATCTGCCACTGACGTCTCGTCAGCGTGTATCATTCGCGTAAGCATTTCATTGCATTGCATTTCATTTTGCTCAAAAAAAAAACTGCAATGTGTTTGATAGCAAATTGAGATGCACAAACCCGTACCGCGAGTCGCACGCCTCACAAGATTGTTGAATTAAAATAGTACCTTTACCTAGGTACTACTTTTTAATAAAAAGCTATTATTATTGTGACATAATGCATCCTGTTCCAGAGTGAATTGGTGGAAATCTTAAAGAACATGTTCCTGCCTTCTAAAAAGATGATAAAAGAGCAATTAGAATGGCTGATCGAACACAAGTACATGCGACGGGACGATGAAGATATCAATACTTTTATATATATGGCCTAGAATTTCTTATAACAAGCATTAAATGAACAAAATCAATATAAATTATTTACTCATCATTTTCATTTTGTTTTTAATTAATCCTATATTATGTAAACAGTACGTTATTTAAGCTTGCAGACTTGTCAGTGGGAAGATAAAATGTAGAAAAATATAAATCACAGAATAAATTATCTCTCCGTCACAGAATAATAAATTTGTGGTGGTCTTGCGGTTTAATACATCGCTTTACTTCCGATCGCCAAAACTAGCGGGTTCAATTTCTAGCACGGTACAAGCATTTACTTGTGCAAAATTATTTAGTATTTCTATCCGTTGTCTAGTACCCATAATAGTTCTGGACTAGTTGGCGTCGTGTGAATTGTCCTGAGTTAGTACTATTCAAATAACAAATTATATATTTTTAAAAAGAATCTTGGTATGTTTATGAATACGAGTACTATTATTTTTACTCGACTATTTTTAAATAATTATGAATAAACGACAATCCAAGGTCATTAATTCTATGGCAGCAGTGTGTTAGGTACCAGTCATTTGCTAAATTAAATGTTCTGTATCGTTGGTGGAATAGAACATAGTACTGTTACTGTGAATAGAACTGAAGTGACTACTGAACAAGTCGATTAACTATCACTTCCAACCAGGGGGAGTGGAGGTTATTAATATAAACTAGTGGCCTCATAGATAGCAAAAATATTTTATATCGGCTTTTTAATAGAGGGGAGACTGAAATATCTTTAATTAGTTTTGCTGGTAAAAAGTATTCAACTTTTATTTAAATGGAGAACACGAGCTTCCCTCCCATCTGTTAAGTTCACCGAATTGGATATGATATTATTAGGTTTTAGATTAAATAAAATAAACTTATATTAATAATTAACTTTATTAAATATATTGTAGACATGTTTGTATGTATAAAAGTTACATAGTAATATAACGTTAATAACTTAATTTTTTGCCGGTTCAATAGTTTCGCCACCTTGAATTTGACCCCATCCAATTAATCTGAAAATAACAGTTTATTATTGTCTAAAACTTTTTTATATAAAATACAGAAAGAGTAAAATTTGCTGATAAAAATGTAAGTAATACTAGCAGACTTAGCAAAGATAATATAACGTAACATTCACATAAAATACAAATGAACTTGAGAATTATTTCTTTTTAATTTGGTTAGAATATATGAAGCATATTGTTAAATTTAAATTAAATTTTTTTTATTGTTAATATTATTGTTATTAAATGCTTTCAAATTTATGATAGGTGAAAACCAGTAATAGTACGAGTAGTCAACTATTCGCGACCTAAATATAATAGTTGATATATCGCTTCATAGAAACACGTAGTAACGGAATTAATCTGGCAGGCTTTACACGATCAGTGTGATTATGGCAGCTCAGTGGTAATGGACATCTAAATAATCAAATCTTTTCATAGCTTAATTGCCCGCGAGAAAATTGAGTCTTAATCTGTATTTTTTTAGGTGTTACATGTCTAAATAGAAGAAAAGAAATGAATTACCGCCAATGATTTTCTACTCTTCTGCTGAGAGCAACTTTTTCCCCAATCTCTGTGCATACAGGATTATTGAGAGCGATCTTTGCCAAATCAGCTTTGGTAGCAATTACTCTACCACCGGTACTTAAAGACCCGATATTTACCAAAAGAACCTGTAATTATGAAAAAAATATATAAAAATTTATCAAATGAATAATTGTTATTATTTTCATATAGCGAACCACAACAAATAGCTACGCACATAAAATATGGAATATAATCAAAATGTGATAATCTTAATTCAAATGAAAGACACAGATTTCAATGACATTTTATTGCAGCAAAAATCAGTCTGCGTATTTCATTCGGATGAAGTATTTTATTATAATATATGTTACACATAATTAAATTATTGTAAACAACAGCAATGACCTTTTCTCATTTAAATTAAATATCAATTTAACAGACCAATAGCGCAATAATAAAAGAAATACATATGCTGAGGGCTGAGAACAAAATGTGACCAACCTCATTTCTGGTCAACTTCTGTACTTTAGCCGCTTTTTTGTCTCCCTCTGTACGCACACCTAGAAGACGTTTCAGTAGATAATAAGAAACTTCAAGTTTTACAAATATACCGGGTAAAGCACCAACTGCGCCCAATACCTGTGAATAAATAAAAATATTTATAATCGTAATTGATAAAATTAGACTGGTATTATAAAATGTTTAAAAACCATATTATAAAATGTATATTTATTTATAAAATATATTTAAAATACTAACGTGACCGACGAGACGATCTGCACGGCACAGCGTAGGCTCGATTTTGGTACCAACGCCTATAAGACCTCCAGGAACTGCGTACTGCAGCTCGTTCTGTTCCGCGAATAATGACACGATGCGAGAGAAAATTGGCCGACAGGTCAGCTTACCGTCATTATCCTTGCTAACTAATCCAGGTCGAACCTGCAATGCAATACAATCTTACCTTAAATCATAAATTAGTTAAATAATAACAATAAACTACGACAATTCAGACAGTCCACACATATATAATATAAACAGAATACAGCCACACTACATATTATTAGATAAATACACACAATCCTGTTTACCAATACAAAACATCGTGCGAGAATCGAACACGCGATCAATTACAGGCAAGTACTGGCATGGGCGTGCTAAACCGACTTTTGTAAGAGAAACACGAAACTAATATTTCTCAAAACGTTTTGGTTACTTCTAAAACAGGACAGGGATTTCATCTCCAACACGATAATGTTAACATGATTTCAATAAAAGTATTGAAATAATCTCTGTTCACCGTCTGGGCCAGACAATTATATATTTAAACTTCGTTAACAATATGTAAAGTTTAAGTGGAAAAATGCAATAACTGAGCGCGGTGCTATTCATTGCAGCCCACTGCAGCGTAGAAAAACAATGTCTAACAATAAGTAATCTACAGTACAGACAATCTGGTAATTCAATTGTTTTACTAGTTTTTGCTCAATATTCTAAGCCATGTGGAAATTAAATGTTTTATTGCTAAATTACCGTTTTACTAATTTGCATGACAGCGGAGTATTTCTACTCGGTAACAATTCTACTTACTTCAATTTCCATTCCAACAGTTAGGACACCCTGAAGAATCGATCCACCTGCAACACCCCCTCTTAAATCGTCCACTTCACACCCTGGCTTATTGACGTCGAAAGAACGGATCACTATCATACGAGGTTTTGAAGAGAAATCTCTTAATGGCACTGGAATTTTTTTGGTAACATATTCGCAAAGTACCTGAGGATAAAATAGTACATATCAATAATTAAACAAGTATTAACAAGAATGTTTAATTGTCACCTTCCACTGGTGGTGGAATCAAATCGACATATATTCACAATAATCACTATTTTTGTTTGCGCTTCGATTTGTTTTTAATCAATAAATCAGTGATTCTGAATGTTTCCGTCCGGTAATAAAAATAATAGGGTAATATACCTAAATTAGTGAATAAGAAAAGTAAAGGAAATTGTTAGTAATGGGGACTAGCAATCCCATTGCTATCAATGTTAACTCTAACGCTCATTTAATCGTCCGGCACTGGTGCCCTGGTAGCGAATGAACTTTGTTTAATTTACTATAAGAACGGATTTGCGGATCATTCTGGGTGCTTTTGGGAGCACTAATGGTCCGTGGACCACCGGTTAAGAACCGGTAGCTTAGAAGGCAAATTGAATTGAAATTAAAAAACAGACATTGAAATCTATTTACCTCAATGTTGTATTTCAGTTGAGCAGAAATTGGGATAATAGGAGCGCCCTCAGCAACTGTACCTTGGACGAATTTTACTATTTGCTCATGTTGCTCTTTAGCTTGTCCTTCTTTTACCAAGTCTATTTTATTCTGCAGAATGAGTATATGCTTCAATTTCATAATCTCGATAGCTGCTAAGTGTTCGCTTGTTTGCGGCTGAGGGCATGGTTCATTACCTGTAGAAAAAAAATACCCATAAAAAAATAACCATTTAAAACATAAAATGACCTAAATAACTTGTAGATTTAGGGAACAATAACAAAAACATTACAGACATAATCATGGTATCTGATTTTGTATCTAAATACGTAGTAGTGCATAATACCTCATAAATTACCTAGATACATTTAACTCATTTATTTGTAAAGGTAATAAAAAAGTATCTTAACCATATGTGGACTATTCAGCTTCGGACTTTACCAGTTTTTTTTTTTCACGCACATATTGCATGTAACCATAGTAACAATATATATATTGACATCCTCGGTGGTCTAGTGGTTTAGCACACCGCTTTACTATCTGATGGTCGCGGGTTCGATTCCTCGCACGGTACAAACATTTGTATTCATGAGTATGATTGTTTGTATCGGTCTGGATGTATAATATGTATTTATTTACAAAAAAAATGTATCCATGTATTTATATCAGTTGTCTAGTAACTATAACACAAGCTCTGCTTAGCTTGGGACTAGATGGCGGTGTGTGAATTGTCCTGAAATATTATTATTATATAATCATTATTATCAACGAGATAACAGTCATAAAAATCATCATCATCTACATTACCATCACGACTATTATAATCATGATCATAAACCTTATCGACATCATCAACATTGCTTATAAAGGAAACTATTTGGCGGGAGAAGGATGTGTGACAGGTATGCAAAAGACTATGTGCAAAATATATATCGGTCAAGTCCCTTCTATTAAAAGCTAAACAAAGTGTAAGTTTCCTGAATTCCTTAAACATCATGGGGCATCAACAGCATCACAGGGCCTTTAAATTGTTGTTAAGCAAAACTTAACAAACTAATCAACGATTGATTATGATTAATGCCAGTAATCATGATTAGGATTATTTTTTGAACTAATTGTTCAATCATGATTGAAATCAGCAAAATAAATTTAAAAGTAACCGATTACAAACCAGCTATGAGTAGTAGTGCAGCGTCCATAACTGCTGCTCCGTTAAGCATGGTGGCCATAAGAATGTCGTGCCCGGGACAATCAACGAAGCTCACGTGTCGTACTAGTTGGAAACGGCCAGTACAGGCAGGTCTCAGGCACGGGAAACTGTCGTCCTTCGATGAACCGCCCGATATGAAACTAGTGGGCCTAGGGCATTTCGGATTGTCACATTTGTAGATTTTCGCGTTAGCATAACCTGTGTAAAATTTATCATAAGTTTATTAATAAATTGCACTCTGTGGAGCGCTACTACGCGTGGACGCTTTGAGGTACAATTATAGCATATATAAGCAAGTGGAAAAAAGTCAGATTAGGAAGGCTCAAATCTCTAATAAATAGGAGGTTCATTGCTTATGATCAATCGTTTCAATAATATAACAATATTGTAATAGCAAAAAAAAAGTTTAAATATTAGTGTAAAAGATAGTATAGTGTGGACAGTGAAACATGAAACATACATAATAGTCTGAGCGAATATTATTATTATAAAGATAAGGAAGGTTGTTTTATATACATATATATATTCAAGGGGAACAATAAAAAGATTTTACATTTTATTCAGTGTTACATATATTCAATATACTGAACAATAAAGCTGTATCACCATGTACACACGCTATAAATAACTCATAATTTAAATCCCTTAACACTATTAACATAAAGTATGACTATTTATCAAGTAAATAATGTAGCAATACTCTCAAATCCATAATATAACATTTAAAATAAATGGTACACTGTACTGTATAAACATATTAATATTATTGTCATAATTGACCTGTTTGTAGAAATTGATAAGGCACAAACTTTAGCACCATGGAAATATGACATGCTATATGCCAACAATAATGAATAAGCTGTGTTTTTTGTATAAACGGATATACTATTCTTGTAAAGCAATACTAAAATTGTTGATAAACAAATAAACATGTAGAAATTAGGCTACGAACTGAAACAAGAGAAAACCTAAGAAGTGACTGGTTTTAGAACTACTGAATTTTAAATAAAAAAAATATTTTGTATCTTGAATTAGAGAAATACAAAGAACTGGACTACATTGATTTCATATAGATATAGTTACTGTAAAAAGTTGAACTCCATATAGAGATTTAGTACATGTAAATATTTATAATCAGAAAATAATAAAGCCTTTTAAAAGTTAATTAGAACTATAATTCTAAAAATAAATAAAAACTTCTAAAATAAAGTTAAAGAAAACAGAAGAATTATTTTCAGTATTATATAAAGTATCTAAATAATTAAAAAAGACAAATTATTTAGGAATTACTAATTTCAGAAAATAAGTATTCATACCTAAATGGGAAACACATTACCCATATACCATCTGTACTTACTAATAACATACAACTGTGCAAGAGCATGTACATGCTCCTTATCCTGTCTAACAATAAGGATTTTCTAATGATTTACTCTAACTTTCCAAGTGTTACCTATATGTATTAATTAAACTAAAGTAATATTAACAACTAAGCACTAATATTATCCCTAATATATTTGATTCAATTAGGTGTTAATTTGCTAAAGCCCACTGGACGACTGGTCGTAGTTTGGTCGTCGAACAGAACAGGCTTCAAAGCTATGACCAATTTCTGTATATTGCATAATAATGCCTCGTTTAGAGATGAAACACGTGTGGCAATATCGGTGTAATTATCCTAATATACACCAGAGGAAGACTCCTCTGGTGTATATTAGGGTGTATTGTCAAACTACTCTTAATTCTTATTTCATATTTGTGCAATAATTATTATAACAACTTATCATAAAACTATAAAAAAATTACACATTATAAACATAATATTAATAAATGTATCACTAGGGAATTAATACAAATGTGAAGAATACAGCTCAAAATAAGTACTTCCGACATTTTATTGCTCCACACTTGCATTCAGTGCGATTTCTAAGCATAGCTATATTTGGCTGCTGAATTTCAAATCTAGATTTCATAGGTGATGTTGGGGATGTAGCCAAACCTCCTTCTGATCCATTTGGAACATTATTTTCTGCTTCATCAGTTATTTCTTGGCTTTGAGTGGAAACAGTCGTTCCTTTATCATCAGTATCAAATGATTTTTGCAAATAGTCAAAACAGAGTTCTTCACCAGCTTCAATGTCCCGAGTTGCAAACAATGCCAACATTGGTAGATTGGGATCCAGGCAATCAGCCCATACGGCCCAAACTCCCAGATTTGGTTCACATGAGTGATTAATAAAATGTGACACATTACCTAAATGTGCTGCATCAACTACATAAGGATTTTCAACAGAATTAAAGTCTAAATCAAACAAGTAAGTTAGTCCTCTAGCATCATATTCTCTGCCCCGTTTTTCTGCTTCTTCAAATGTTATAACTTCACCAACATATTGGCAAAGAAATTGACCTTTTTTAATAGCTTGATCTGTTTTTACTCCCCAACCACACCCATTAGATGTACGAAATATACAAAGTTTTAAACTTCGCCCATTTTGTACAACTCGATTACAACAATCCTCAGAGCACTTGCATGCTTTATTGCATTCATATATTGGAGTTCCAGGTGCAACCCTTAAACGTTTTTTTGTTGTATAAGCAAATATACCTCCCTGCATACCACAACATGATTTAGAACGACAATTACAAGCAATACAATCACAACCAATAGGTGGTTCATTAGGAATTGTAACCCCTGCCCCAGGAATAGATTGACTAATATATGTAAAATTTTCTGGTGGACCATCAAGATCTACATTATTTTCTACTGTTAGTTTCTTGGATTTGTCTATGTGATTTAAATGTTTTTCCCAATCCTTCAATTTCATTAATTGACGACACCTTTTTCTTGTTAATACATACATTTGTAAAAGAGTTCTTGCATTTTGCACAAGTTCGAGTGCATGACATTCATCCTTTTGGGTGAGACACATCATTGACAATAATTTTATCAGTAGTGAGGATTTCAAATTAGAAATATCAATTTCTTCCACTTCATCTATTCTGCCAATAAGGGTTTCTTCAGATAAAAGATTTCCAAATGAAATTTCATTTTTAAGCTGTTCTAATTTATTGAAATGTTTCAATTCTTCATTTGCTAAAAATTCATTTAATACTTTTGGGCAATTATCAAGATGTTCAATTGGCTCCCAAGTGTTTTCACTATCAGGCCATCCTTTCCATTTAACAAAAAAATAATTTTCACCAGATTCATATTTGAAATCAAGTATTTTTTCAATGATAAATTCCTGAGTGTTTATTTCTTTCTTTCGTTTTTTTACAATGGGTGGGTTGTCTTCTTCTGATTCAATTGACAAATTCCTTTTCTTGCATCTTCTTAACTTTTCATGAAAACTTGTTTCATCCTTTTCATCTGCCCTTTCACGATACATTTTCACAACTGATTCAGACAGGGGCTCTGCAACATACCATGTGGTTTAATTAAAACAGGTTCAATATATAACTTTAACTTGTATAATGCTGATTTACAATAGCAGTTATTATTACTATTCACATGGTATATTGCAGAGTAGCTGCATTACTTTAACAATACTATAAGGTAAAAATACATCAATTACTTTTATACATGACATAGGAAATTGATATTGTATACTCTATAGTAGAAATGTTTATTATTGTATACTCCATTCCAATAGAACATGCACAAAAGGTATGGAAAGGGATAAACGATCAGTCTAGTCTTGACTAAAATTAGTAGGAATCAATAATCATTTAAATATTTTAATTAATATGTTGAATGTTCTGGTTATGTTACGTTACAGATATGTTAGTATAAGTGAATACTGACAGATTATAATTAGGGAGTGACAAAGCATATATCAATGAATGAATAACTACAGTGCAACCCATATATAATGAAACCAAATATAATTAGTTCCTTGATTTAACAAATTCTTTGTAGTCCTCTTGAATTGCTCATAAGAGTCAATTTCAAATATATAATATTGAGAACAAACTTTTTATAATGAATTTTATATAAAAAAAACTATAAAATAAGTGTAAATACCTCTTATTAACATATGACATCAACTCAAAACATTTATTTTTAAAAAGAATTCATCCATTTTGATCTCATTTTGTTGAATAATACATTTAATACTTGCATTCTTCCATGTCAGACATATGAATGTGAAACAAAGAACATCTGGAGAAATTTCAAAGATGCCGTTAAGAGCCATGGAAATAGTAAGTTTGGAGGAATAAATAAAAAAGAAAGAAGCAGAATTAAGAGTGCAAGATTAAGAGCATATTTAATAGATATTCTTCTATAAATAGACCAACAAACATCGAGCGAGATTGACCACAAGCTCTGAAGCAAGGCTGAAAAATGGAGCAGATATGTAACATAATGAAATCCAATGAAAACAAAAAGAAAAAGAGACTGGCCCCAGAGACACAGGGAAGATGAAATAAAGCTAACAACTAATCCCTAATGGAAAAAGGGCAGCCCAGAATAGTTTACATAGAACAGAATTAGAGACCTTTGCCACAAAGCACTCAAAGGGTTATAATACTATTAATAAAGTACATATGTAATAAGCATAATCAATATTAAAACATGAAAAATAGATAATTGTGTAACTAATAATAGTAACAATAAATCTATTTGATTTTATAATAACTGGAACAATGACCATATGTAGAAAAAAGTACTGAAAACTCGAGAATAACTCGGCTTCTTCATCTTTATATTTGATATGTAATTTAGAAAGTAAAAACAAATAAATACTGTTATTAAAAGTGGTGCTATATAATAATGTTAAAACATTCTGGAGTAAAATAATTGTGTTAGTATTACAATTTAGTGATTGCTTATGTCATAATAAAATGTTTGTTAACCTACTCTGTAGGTTCTTTTGGAATGAAGTATAGGTTTGATGTGACAGACAGTTTGAAGATCAGATTTTTATTGTTTTAAGTACCATTAATTCCAATAACTTGAGTGAAGTAAATGGTTTGAATAGATGAAATAGCCAATATTTAATTAATAATAGGGAACAATTTTATAATACTTGTAAAATAAAAAGAAAATAAAATCATATTCATAGTCTTCCTGTCATTATTTACTGCTACTAAATGGTTTCACAAAATAACAAAGCATCAATAGATAATTTCATACAACATACCTAATTTAATGGTAATATTTCTTTCCAGTTCGTTTTTGAATCTAACTGTCTGAACTCCTGAAATTGCCTTTACAACAGTTGATTTTCCATGAGCTACATGACCAATAGTGCCAATGTTGATAGTTGCTTGTCGTGAAATAACTTCAGGCGACAAAGCTGATAATTTTGTGACATCCTAAAATAAAAAAAATATTTAAACATTTTTATTAACATTCCATTGATCACAAATTTAGGTTATGTGAATGTGTTGAGCAAAGTAATACAACAAATAATTACGATTAAGTACTATATGTTAATAAATTAATAATAAGAGTAATAAATACTTAAGAATAAATGATTAATCATCTAAACTTACCAATTTAGATAAATCTTGCTGATGCAAGTTTGACTGAATTCCACGACCTTCTGTCGACGCCATATTATTGGTATTCGCGGTTTTTTAATTGCTACAGTATTATATAAAATGTGTTTAAATTGTTTATTGACACTTATAAATTAATATCTTATTTGCACCCAGTAAAATATAAATTAATAAAAGAAATAGGGTTAGAATATTTCAATACTGGAGCAACGTCGCGTCGTACAAGCAAGGGTTGCCATATGCAACTTACATTTTATATTTATGTTCATTCGGTTCATTCATTCAAAATTTAAGATCCGCGCTTTTGCCAGTGGAGTACTTGGCTCATGATTCATGATTTTCCCTTGTGAGGGAAAGTTACCTCTGAACTTCTCACGTTAACAGAGTAACTATAGTGGTGTTCAAGTAAATAACGTAGAATGAGATAAACAAAATATATTTCTAATCAAAATAAAATAATATAAAAAGACATTTAATACAATATACAGATAAGTTATAGATACATCAATACGACGACAGACAAGATGACAAAACACACTCTCTTTTCAAATATTCAAACATACTTCATCTGCCATACCAGCCAGTCTAGACATCGATTGCAAACCTCGTTCTAATAAATTCTGACTGTAGTGCAATTGTTTTTGTGTTATTTTTGTTGGGTATTGAAATATATTGTTTAAGTTTGTATAAAATATACTTATTTTATGTTTAAATGTAACATGTAAAATTATAATCATATATAGTAATGTATGTAATGGTAGTAGGGATACATAACAATTACTATCGGTCCTGACTAATCTGACGTATGCTGCGAATTATGAACTCCCATATTACGCGGCCTAGGTCATTTCTGAAACCTCGGAATGTATTCCTGTTATCTTTTGTGTGAAGTCCGTCACTTTGTTATATTTTTTTACTGATATTGTGAAACCTATTATTAGCTATACTGTTGGTTTGTACTTTCTGTTTTTATGTATTGTGTATGCTGTTGGTTTCAAATAAATAAATAATAATATAACTTAGTCTTCCCCTTCCCATATTTTCTTCTATTTTTCCTTCGACAATAATATTTACAATGTTTATCGTGCCATGCCGTATTAAGTATATATTTAATAATGATGAATTGTCTGTTTTCTTTAACTTTTGTAGTACTTCTTGATTTCTTATATCTTTTCAGCTAATTCTTTCCGTTATCGTTTTCCCTTTAACATCACATTTCAAAAAGTTTGTACTTTTCCTTTTGAGGCAATATTCATGTGTCAGGAATAATATTATCCACACCTTTTTAAATCTTGTGCAAAAAATCGATTATTCGGAACAATGTCGATATATATATATATATATCGATCTTTCAATAGTGGATTATTTTCTCCACATCCCTAAAGTTGTCTTAATTGCTCTGTGTTTTCCCACGGAATTTATATAGAGGATTAGATTTTATTTTATCCGTTAAATAGTTACATTTATTTAGATTAAATTGATTCCTAATTCTACTTCTAGAGTGTTGTTCTTTCTCTCGTCTATGGTTTGGTGTAATAGCTTCAATTAGAATGCGTAGAGTAGATTTTAGATTACAATAAGGAAATTAGAAGTGATTTGGAATACAGGTATTTCAAACAATAAACACACTTGAGCAATATTATGGATCAGAATAGTTTGTGATTTTGTTAATTAACAATTGTTTATATATTTATTACTGTGACTTTTAACTGTTAATTTAATATGAAAAATGAAGAGTTGCAGGAACATACCAAAAGATTACGTTTTAAGAATATAACCAATGTTCAAGATTTTTCTGGGGAAGCGAGCTACGTTCCTAAAAGTACGCCAGAAATGAAGAACAAAGGTCGGTCTGATACAATGATTTTAATCATAATGAGCTTATCAAAAAGTAATATATGAATTATTAATAAATTGAATTTAACAATGTTCATTTTATTTCAGATGGAGAAAAATCTTCATTATTTACATTTTTGCAAGTTGAACTTACGCGAGGGTACTTACTTGAGCATGATGAAGAAAGATTTTCTGCACGAAGAGAAAAAGTTTACTCCTTTATAAAAATACCCCAAGAGTTGGAGAAATTCATGGCATATGGATTTTTTCAATGTGCAGATTCATTGTTGTTTGTTTATACATTTTTACCATTGAGGTTTATTATGGCTTTTTGGTCCTTCCTTAATAGATTATTTAGGAAGTGTTTTGGGTAAGTAGAAATAAAATAAGGCTACTAAAGCTAATATTATTTATTTCACAACTGGTTTTGTTACAATTGTACATTTTGAGAAAAAAAATTGCCCAATCTGAATTTGAGAAAAAACTGAACATCTTAATCCTCAGAAGAGTCAGTGCATCAAAGGTATCACAGTGTTAATATTAAGATAGGTCAATCAGTGTAACCCAGTTCTCTGGGTATAGTCATGATTAACAGTGGTTGGTGTGAATAATATGTTTCAAATCCCTTGACAAATATTTTAAATAGTGATGTGAATATTATGATAATTTTAGAAATACTTTAAGATTTTTAGGCTAGAGTACCATCAGTATTCTAAACTCCTTTTTCTTGTTTCCTGTTTCTTAATGTTATCTCAGTGTTTAAATATTTCAGATTTTATTCTAATCATCGAAAACATATATTAAAACCAGCTGAAACTTGTGATGTTTTGAAAGGATTTATCTTAGCAGCCTGTAGCATTTTAATGTGTTACATAGACACAAATATGATGTACCATTTAGTGAAGAGTCAGAGTGTTATGAAGTTGTACATTTTCTACAATATGTTAGAAGTTGGTGATCGGTTGTTTTCTGCTTTTGGTCAGGACACTATAGATGCTCTGTTTTGGACTGCTACAGAACCCAGAGATCGGAGACGGGAACATTTGGGTTTAATACCACACTTATTATTTGCTATGACATATGTCTGTATCCTTTTCAATGTACAATACAATTAGAATTATATGATTTTTCAGTCATTGTATGTTTTACAATAAGATTGTACCAGTTGTAATTCAGAGATGAGAAGATTAAAATCCATAGATTATGATGCAGGAATGATTACTGTTAATAAAGGAGTTACAATTTATAGATTTAACAGAATATTTCTTCTTTCTAATTACAATATACTTAGATAAACTAAACTATTGTATAGAGAATACTATGGCTGGTTTTCATTATTAATTCAGAAACTGATTCACATTTTATGAGAGTTTTATTGTAATATGCCTTCATTAATTTGTCCAGTTCTTCATAGCTTATTAGTTTTATTTCAAGCTACAACACTCAATGTGGCCTTTAATTCAAATAATAAAAGTCTTCTGATTATTATGATGTCAAATAATGTAAGTACTGATTAGAAAATTGTTTATATTATGCCTAAAAATCAATCAATCAAACTAATCTACATCAACGATGATGAAAAAATGGTTTTGTTCACCATTAATGCAGATACAGTGTTATCAAGAACCATTTTAGAGGTTTTTAATGTTTCCATACAAAACAAATAAACTATTGAAAGATTCTCGATTCACGTATCAGATGTTCTGGTTCTCAATTAAGACAAATTAAGTTTAATACATATGCATATTTCTTTCCAGTTTGTGGAACTAAAAGGAAGTGTATTTAAGAAATTCGACAAAAACAATCTATTCCAAGTATCATGTAGTGATGTCAGAGAACGTCTTCACCTGTCAGTATTGCTATTTATAGTAGTGTTACAAACTATGAAGGAGTACACGTGGCGCGAGGAACGATTCTGGATTTTGGCGCCAGACTGCGTTGTTGTTCTCACCTTTGAGGTCATAATTGATTGGGTTAAGCATGCCTTTATCACTAGGTATGTACTTAAATTACTTCTGTTAAGAATGTATCTGTATATATATGTATATGACAAGTTTTATATTTAAAATGCATTTTATCTTTTTTACATTTATACATATGTATGTTATTTAATTTGCACAGATTTAATGAAATCCCTTATGGCGTATATAGGGAGTATACAGTGAGTTTGGCATACGATGTTGCTCAAACTAGACAGAAGTATGCATTTAGCGATCATTCCGACTTGGTGGCACGTCGAATGGGCTTTATCCCGTTGCCTTTGGGAGTCGTTATTACGAGAGTGTTAGTTCACGCAGTAAAAGTTGACGGGTATGTACTATTACTTGAATATAAAAATCGTAGGTATTTAAGCTTGGGATTGATGATTATAAGGACGCCATTCAAATGATTAACTGAGTATTTATTTTTATCGACTAGATCTACGCTCTATCTATATAGGAATTGGAAAACAACAAGTAGTAATTATAATTTATTCTCCATCTCGATGGTGATACTGCTAAGTCACATTTTGGGTATATTTAGCTACAATTTTCATACTCGGATGTCAAATTCGTTGTCTATATAATATTGGACAATTCACACATCGCTATCTAGTCTCCAGCAAGGACTTGCAGATTATGGCTGGTAAACAACTGATAGAAATACCTACTTAAATACATTATTTTTTAAAATAATAAAGCATATATAGAAAAGACCCAGACCAATACAAACATTCATATTCACGAATAGTGCGATATATCGAACCCGTGACCATCAGTAGTAAGGTGGTATAATTATCGACTAGACCACCGAGGACATCATCGAGGCCGATGTATGTATAGTAAAGCGGAGATTGCATAGAGTACTGTGATATTTGGTAAATAGTATACATTGTATTCCAGTAGTAATATGTGAATACGTGTGCATTGTGTTCGGCAGTGATATGCATTTTTTTGTTATCATTTCAAAGGTCAATAGCGGACAAATAATTTAGTTGATGAAAATAATAGTACTTCAGATTCATAACTTTCAATATTAAAAGCTATTTTTTTTAAAATAATAATGTAATATTGAAATAATTTAATCATTGGTTTATATGTATATCATTATAATTATTATTAACAGAGATGAAGTGTGAACATGTTAATTTTGTTTCACAGGTTTGCAGCCATTTTCCTCATATTCCTAGCATACCTCTGTCTAATATCTATAAGAGTGTTGGTTTCTATAGTCATACTTGGTAAAGCTTGTGATTTAATTACACAACATCAGATGGATAAGAATGAGAGTCTTCATACAACGCCTAAAAAGTAAAGTTTGCTTAATTTATTATTTATGATTTCTATTAGTTTATTATATAAATAATTTATGTAGGTAATATAAATTTGTTTGTTAGATTTGGTAAAAATACATTTCCAGATGTCATTACTTTAATTTTCACATTGTGGTATAATAGCACTGCAGTTTATTACATTATTTTACAACAGCAAGTCATAATGTGATATTAAAAATGATAAATTCATTGTTTCCTTTACTTTTCAAGAAGGGTATAGGAAGGTTCCTTAAGGCACTAGGCATCTCTGGTGAGTCAGGCGTCCATAGGCTACAGTAATCCATTTACCATCAGATGGACTGTGTGCTTGTTTGCCACCATTGTAGTATAAAAAAAGTAGAGACTCATCAATTACATCTTTTCTGTGTTCCCAAATTTTTTTATTTTTTTTACTAAATAAAGCCATATAGAAATTTATTTCTAAGTTATTTATAGTTATTATCATAATTACAATAATATTACCAGGTTAAAAAGCATATATTGTATTATTTTTTCAGAGAGCAGAAGGAGATTACTAAAGATACAACTTGTGCATACAAAACTCCTGATGTTGAAATAACAACAGTAAAAAAACAAACACAATTAAAGTTTCTGATCCCTGAAGACGTAATTAAGGTATGTATATTTAATTGAGTGATTTTGTGTATTATTGTGTAAACATGATGTCTTATGTTCTTTTAAATAATTTAATTTTTATAGTAATTGTGAAGTTGGAGGCTTTTTGTGTATAATATCATTACACAGTTTCATAACTGTGACTGTGCTTACACTAAGAATTATACACTTGTAAAAGCAATATCAATATTATAAAAATAATAAGACAATTGTACATTTTAGAGTGAACCCTTAGTGGATGCTTCAGTGGGCGCGGCTGCTATATTTTCTAACAGCGCCATTGATCTTAATGGCGTTTGTTATCTTAACGATAAAATGAATGTACAAGTTAAACAGGAGAGTGGCGATTATTTGGAACCGGAAGTGGTGAGTGGTGCCCAAATAAGGTCTTTACAGATATACTTTAATTCTTAGTTGTAAGATTTATCAATTGTTTTAAGATTTCATTGTAGATTATAAATTCTATTCATCAAAATTATAAACTAGGCTATTTCTGATTTTTTGTTATATGGGTTGTAAATTAGTAGAATAAACAGAAACTTTATTACGTTACTGTGTTCTTCCATATGTCATAATGTAAATAAAAAGTTATTAATAATATATTTTAAGAAGATGCCAAATGGATGTCAGATCGAAATAATCATACTAACTTAAAAGGCTCTGAACTCTATTTATATCTTTTTTTAGAAAATCGAAATTGCATACTCGCCCAAGAGTTCTGAAGTTTTTGAATGTGCGAAATAAAATTTGGTAAAGGCAATATACATATCACTGAAAAGAATGGGATAATGTTTATATTGCTATTGTCTTTGACAAATTTGCATCATGTATAGTTACAGCTCATAATTTTTTGCATTCATATTCTAATAAATACCCATGCGGAGATGAGTTTAAACGGGTTATTTAAAAAAATATTACGTATTGTTGATATATATATATATATATTATATATTTGATGAAGCAAAAGTGATAGCGTTTATTTTCAGTGTGAATCAACGTCTAGCTTTTATTTAAATTTACACGGATATTAAGTATATTTATTTACTGATTTGAACTTATTTTTGAACTGATTTTGTTAAAATAGCTGTATAAAATTGTTTTCAGGCAGATGTTAGCCGAAGTGCACCCGATATTAAGGCAGCTACCGGCGCCGAACCTACGCCGGAGTCGGTAGAGCGGCCCAACTCACCAGACTCCGGCGTGGATGGTCTCAAACGACGTTCTGAGTCTGAGCCTAACTTAGTTAAGGCCGAGGAACACTACGACGACACCACGTAACATCATGTGTGCTGTTTGGTATTCACTTTGACTTCTCTGTACTAGTCCAATGTTGGGTATTGAGTGATGTGTAAATTGGGATTAATGTATATAGAAATATGTTTATATATATATATTTATATATATATATATATATTGCTGAATATATATATATATATATATATATTCAGCAATGAATACATGTCGGAGTGTTTAATAAATTATTTTAAAAGGTATGATTATCTTGGTATATTTTATAAAAGACAGGTCATTGTACCGAAAATGATTTAAAAATTATAATAGCTCTGTAATCTGTTTTTTTATATCAGAGACTGATTTGGCATTTCCTATTTTGTCAGCTTTTTGTGATTCTTATATAGTGTCGTGTCACTATTGGAACTTCACAATAATTACCCCATTTTTATGTTACTCACAAATAAAGTGTTGGAGTTTATTTAAAACAATCAAGCATTAATACTTTAATTGTTATATATTTCGCAATTATATATTTTACTATGTATATTTAGGGCAACCTAGTCAGCTAAGTAGGTCCAATTTTGAAGAAGAGGTCAATCATCGAATCCAAATCGTAAGGGCAGCGTACGAGAAGCTCCGATATATTATTTATTATATCCGCTCCGATATATCTTTTCGTCCAAATTACTGAAATGTCTCAAGTCGAAAGTTTATGACCAATGTGTGTTGCCAATGATGACATACAGAAACGTCGCTAACTGTGGGCCTGATGAACAAGCTCAGTCACTCGGAGCGCAATGGAGAGGGCTATGGTTGGAGTTTCTCTGCATGATGGAATCAGAAATGAAGAGATCCGCAGAAGAACCAGAGTGGCCAATATAGCCCGTACAATTGCGAAACTGAAGTGGCAATGGGCAGGGCGCATAACTCATAGGACTGATGGCCGTTGGGTCAGTAGAGTCCTCGAGTGGCGACTGCGGACCGGAAGACGCAGCGGCCTCCAACATGGTGGACCAACGATTACCTCAAGATCGCTGAAAGCGAAGGCTCTTTTATCTAATAAATAGCCTTCATATGGTATCATTTCAGAAAACATACGTAAAATATTTGGCTGTTTGAAAGAAAAAAATATTTGGTTTATAGTTAAAAAAACTGGTTTATATTTTTGTACTAAAACCACTTCAATGTATTTTTGTGTTTTAATACAAATACACTAATGGAATGATCTGTATCTCTCGTCTGTAAATATTTAAAACTATATTGCGGAAACTTCTTAGAAAACTATAAAATGAAGTGCATAAAATTAAAATTACGGTTTCAACAAATTGGTGTAGCATGTCCAGCACTGCAAAGTAGAGCTGGTAACATTATTTGAAAATTTGATATTAGTCTCTGAGATTAGAAACCAGACTATAGTAAGTTGAAAGACAAAATTCAATATTTGTATATATTTATTATTCAGATACATTTTTACTCATAATTGTTATTTTATTAATATTCATTTTAATATTTCACATTTAATATTCGTTTTACAATTTTCACGAAAATTGTAAAACAGTTTTCTAACAAATCATATATCACTTATTTATTAATTCCGTATAATAATATATATTATGCCATATATACATATAGGTAGATTTATGAGAATAGATACACTGGTAGTTGATACTACTATATCGACTACCAGTAGCTTTTTCATACCTTATGGTATTTTGTTCTATGCAGGTAACTTGTATGTATTAATAGGCCTGATATTAGTCTATATCTTACTTGGTCTCGTACATCATAAATAATAAAAATATTATTTATAAATTAAAAAAGTCACAGATATATTTTTATTTAAAGTTGTCCAATAAGTACTAATTTAATATCATATTTTACTATTTACCTAATAATTAAACATTACCGGTCTATGAAATCTTTTAGATTCCTATATATTTTTTTTCTTTGTTTTATAATTTGGTGGCTCCACTTTCGTTGAGCTTTGTATAATAAGTTTTTATCTTGTGTATGACATTAATACCTGAACCTTAAAGATCTTAATATGGGAATATTGTAAAAATAAAGTTAGCTTAAAATTTAAGACTGATATAACATTGGGTGCTTAGATTGATTCAGATTCTAGTTAAAACATGTTTTCTATTACATAATTTTATAATATTATGGGAGATATTTTTAAATAACTGCTTCACTTCAGTGATGCTTAATCATTTAGTGTTGCGACCCTCTAAAAGATTATGACAATAAATGTTGAGATCCCTTATAAAACTGGACGTGATTGCCCTCTAAGAGTCACTATACCCACATGCTCAAGAATTCATTAGAACAATGATCGGTTTTGAAATGTAATTTAATTATTTTCTACAGAATGGAATAACATAATATATACATTTTGGAATACTATAGGAAAGAATATTTTAGAAAGTTAAAGAAAAAAATTGGGTGGTCATTTAAAATAAGTATATATTATTATATAAAAGAATTGTTTATTTATCGATATTTTGTCTTCATTACGCTTTTTGATATATGATTTCTACATAAGGCCTATATGAAATGTATTGAGTATTTTAACATTTAATACTGATAAAATGGTAAACAATATCTTGACGTAGTTAAAGATAATGATTTTTTATATATTTCTTTCTGTGAATTAAATTATTATTTGTTTCTCTTGTTTTTTTTTCTTGATATATTACACTCCTGTTCAAGTATTGGCACAATTAAAAATCAACCATATTAAAGAGAAAAATACTTTTCAAAATTAACTTACCTATTATTTTTCACCCTGCGGGTTTTATGACCAAAGGTTAATAATCCACATGAATATTACAAAGACAAGTAATAGTGCAATCAATGTTTTTATTTGTTTTGTGATACTATTTGAGCGTAAATGTGACATGGGGATAGGCAGACATATTATGTATATGGATTAATATGTAACAGGTTCACTAACCATGGAATCGAGAAAGCATGTTGTACTAGTGTAATAACCGGCCAACAACTACGTTTTAATAAAACGGAGTAAACACTTCTAGTTATATTTTGATTTGACATTTATCATCATCATCATCACCTCAGCCCGGAAGACGTCCACTTCTGGACAAAGGCCTCCCCCAAAGATCTTCACGACGATCGGTCCTGCGTTGTTCGCAATCAACGCCTTCCTATTATCGTCATTAATAGAAAATTAAATATTAAAACTCAAAAAAGTAGTACAAGATACGTCTTAATATTTGCTAAGTGATTGTATTATCGCCATTAATTGCTTGGTCGTTGATTATTCATACTTACAATGTTTATAAATATAGAATTGGGAATGCAGTAGCCTACTTTTTAATCCCGGTGCGATATGATGAATGAGGTAGATATTTATAGTGATATAGTCTGCTCGTATATAATTATTCGCTTTAAATGTAACTATGCTTTTAGTTTAGTAACCTTTGCTTACTTTATGCTTTCGCGCTTCGTATGCCATCTAACGGTTGCTGTTTGAATGTTTAAGGACGTATTTGTTTCTGCTTTTGGTTTTTATTTTCTATGTGGTACTTTTAACTGACAATAATTTTTCAACAGATGCCAGCGCAGTCCGCATGTCTAAAAGACACGCACTATTAGTTTAAGCTTTATTTTTGAAATTATTTGACGGATACAAAGTGTCTTATCTATATATAAAATACTTTATATGAGTTTGTGATTTCTTTTTCTTTATATGTAATCGTAATAATTCTATGGCGTTGTTTAATATGACATGTATCATTTAAAATTGCTTCTAATCATATTATAATAACTTTTTACAGTATAGTGTATAGTAGTACTACTAGCTACTGACGATTGATGATGTAATGAACACTGCAGTGTACCTACTTATTATCAAAGTATAATTAAAAATACAAAAGAGAGTTACTATTAATTTCTGGTTTTTAACAGATATTTAAACCCGAAATCTTGTAACAAAATTAGGTTTTATCTCGTAGTAAATAAATAATAACATGGTTGCTGAACTCTTGCAGCTAAGAATAGAGTTTACAAAATAACCAATACCTACTAATATGCGTATACTTATTAATAATTAACATACTTATTAATAATAAAGCAGTAGTCTTTGATTTATTGATCACACTAATCTATGAAATTACTGGTTTGAATTGAAATATTCTTTTAGTTTGGATAGCCAATTCATTGAAGAATATTATATGCTACACAATTAATATGTGGTACAAGGTACAAGTTTTGGAAAACACTAACATAAATTATTAATATTAACATAAAGTTTTACTAGCTGCAGCTGTAGTAGTAGTAGTACTGGCACTAAAATATATTTCTACAAAAACATTTAGCCAAACATTTTTTGTGATTCAGCAGACAAACCAGTGTTAAAAATATACGAATAACAGAGACAGTGCCAATATTCGTATGAATCTCTAAAATTAACCAATGAACCCATTTTGTTGCCAACTATTGTATTTATGCTAATTTGATATAATTTTGTAGATATTGTTATGGACCTACCTGTATGGGCCCTGGTACTGAAGACAAATATTTTAAACTTTATTTTCTTATAATTCAATTTAGTGATTATTTTAAATTCATTTTAACCTATATTAAAGGGATGATAATTATAAGGAAACTTCAGTGGTTAAGTTTTCAACAATTTGTATTTTCGCACCTTAGGTGTTTTCAATATTAAATAAAAATTTGTTTTCATCTTATATACACATTAAATCCAAATTTAGTCAGAGTGTATTTACAAATATATTAAATAGAATTTAGTAAAAATTAGTGGGATTTAACAATACCTACAGACTTATAACTAATTATATTTTAGAACATCAACAACATCTTTCACTCTGGTGAAATACAAAGACAGCTTAAAATAATAACCATACTTACACAAAATTCGTAAAGATTTCGTACCCATTTATTAAGGTATTGTGTGAACACTATAAAAGTTATCGATTTCTGTTCGTAAAATTTGCTAAGTTCTAGTTAGTAACGTGAAATGTTATAAATGGCGCACTCCATCGTAACACAGAATGTAATGTAACAGAACTTGTCAACAATGTAAAATCTTTCCATCACCCCCAACATGTGTTTGAAAGAACCATCGCCGGCGACGCCTAAGGAGCCGCGGTTTCGGCCTACGAACAATTGGCGAGTCGCAACTCGTAATCTAATACAAACACCGTATATCAATAACGTTAACGCGATGCAACATTACGTAAAATCTGTAAGAATTTAGTCTTCTCCGTTTCAATTGTCACTCGATTAACATGAATACGCTATAATAATACCTATCTACTCTAGCCTTCTCTATCGGAGACTTCGTCTCTTCTATAACAGTAAAAACATTATAAACTCGTACACCATTCAAGTTGTGTATACAAAACGTGTGGTCGCGTCATTTTATACCAAATGCGTTCGCTCATTACAAACAACGGCGTATGATTTGCAATTTTTTTTAAACAACTGATACTATTCGTTAATATAAAAAAATATTATAAATTTGTACATTGCATACATCAGATACTAGTCCGGTAGCGCGTTGGAAATGAGGATCTAGGTACATCACAAAAGTTGTAAGTGTAAAATAGACACTACCTGTGCAATGTAGTTACCGCTAAATTTCAAAAGTATTGAAATTAGACCTACCAGCATTATCACGGTGGACTCGCGAGTTAAGTATCTTACCAATCTAACATAGAATGATATGCATTGCGTGTTGTCTGATTTGCGTGCAATTATTATTGAGTACTGTAAAATGATTAGGTAAGTAAGAGTTGTACATATTTTAATCTTTTACGTAATTTTTAAATAGATTCCATAAATTTCATGAAAATAGATTATATCACGCGAATTCACCGTTACTTTACTGGGATGTCTTTTTGGCTGTGTACCTATTTCTCGATTAGTAGTATATCTAAGATATATAGCTTTATAGGTCTATAGTTATCTTCTTTAATTAAATACTTAACAAAAAGTGGTTACAGGCCACATGAAAATTGTTTTGACAAAAAATTACAATGGATACCGCCTCTGTTTGTGTTTAAAGTTGTAGTCGCAATAGTTAGTAATATTATTGTCTGGAATTCTAAATTCATAACGACCAACATTATTGAGGGCCCACCCTGTTGTTTCATTATTACTGCTTGTATGGTGACATGTTATAATTTTTATGGAAATTGTGACATTTAAAAATTTTCATTTGTATAAAATTACATTTGTAGCATAAATTGCGAGTACCTAAATAACAGTAATATTAACAGTAATCAATAATCACATGTAATTTGTGTTTTACAAAAGTAGATATTTTAAGTTGAACATGAAGGCTTTTATAACATATTACATTTAAAGAGAACATCTATATATTTGTGCTTAATTTTGTACTAATGTAAAAAACATACCGTATCTACATTGAATATCTACGTCATTTGCGACTAGTAGAAACGGTACCGTTTCTCAATATTTTTTATATATTTACCATTTAAAATTCGTTTCATTAAGAATAAAGACGCTAATTTCCTGTTTATAAATTAATAAATTTATCTAAAAGGTATGGTAGCGAATGAGCTAGACACCCGCAGCGGTGAACTTTACCTACCTACTTGAATTATATAGAACAGGAATAGCGTAACAACGTAATCATCACAGTAAATGAAATCTAAATTTTAGAAACGAGTCTTACACATAATTATATCTACACAAAAACTTATGAGTATTATAAATTAGGGAACCCCGATAAGGTAGGTACATGAAAATTATAATTAATAATGATTAAGAGATCATAATTTACCGCATACGTTATATACTAGGTTAGTCTAGATATAATAATATGCATACTATAAAAATATATGCCACTGAGGAAAATTATTAGTGATTAATAGAATAACAAGTGCAACATTTGATCGATTACAAAACACATGGATCTGATAGCATTAGTAGTAAAAAAACCTTGATACTAAATAAATAGTAATAGCAGTACGATCTAAAAGAAGCGGAATTGAGCAAATTTTGTTAAAAAAATCTTTGAGCAAGAAGAGATTGACAGCCGATGTCGAAAATTAATTAGTAATTAGGTATAGCGAATGCATGCATCTTATAAAACAAACAATAGTCGACATTCTCACGCTAGTATTACCTTCGACTAGAAATATAAAACAAAATAATAATAGTTATCACTTATTTAGCAGTCGTGTTACACTTAGTATAATAATGTATTAAATTAAAACTGCAGTGGCACGTAACGTTGTAAAGTTAATAAATGGCACAGTTTCACGTTAGTTTTATATATTAATAATTAGACCTACCTACAATAATTAAGTAGGTAATCGTGGCCAATAAATGCTTACCACATCCATTTACTCGTTTTTGTGAAACAGGGTACTAAAAATACATCGTTTCCTAACATAGTAATGGTAAACATTGTTTCGCCTCGTTTGTACCTGCGATAGGCTCATTATGTATCACTTCTTTACAATCACTTATAACACACACATTGAACGCACCAATGTGCTGCATCATTTTGAAATATTTATTAAGCTTAGCTATGGAACTACTATCAGATAGAAAGATATGTGTTCACACTACGTCGAGGACGATAGCGATGCAAACTACTTCAATCACTGAGACCGTCTGCTGCATGACCAGGGCACGAGGTTACACAATAACCGTATAATTGTCGCGTGCACTGGACACTTTAGGCCACATCGCTTCGTATTTACGTTTGTTCCCAGTCGAGTTCATTCAATTAACCTATCTAAATTAATACATCGAATTTATCTCCTGATAATAATGACAAATACGTATAAAAAGATATATATTAATATATATACCTACATATAGTTATACATATATTATATAAATTTCAGTGAATTTACAAAACGTAGAGTTAATAAAGCTTCGTTAAAGACAATTTTTTACACCTAAGCGATGAAATTATTTAATAACTTCAACGTGAAAAATATAAAAGTTCAGTTATCCGAAGAGTCGGAGGTCCCGGGAGTCGACGGCGGGTCGCCACTTGAAGGAAGCGGCGAGAGTGCCGACGCGGGCGCTGGTGATCGCTAGAGAGGCGCTGGCGCATGCGGGTGCGATTCATGGTGGTGCGCAGGCCCGCCGCCACCTCTTTCTCTCTTCAATCGCTGTTTTAAATGAACCTTCGCGTGCCGCTTTTTCTCATCAGAACGCGCGAATTTTCTACCACACACATCGCACGCAAAAGGTTTCTCTCCAGTGTGAGTTCGTACATGTGTCGTCAAGTGATCTGATCTGCTAAACGAACGCATACATATTCGGCACTGGAACGGTTTCTGTCCCGTATGGATACGAATATGCCTAGTTAATTCATCTGACCGCGAGAATCTGCGATCACAACCATCAACTGGACAAGCATATGGCCTCTCGTGAACAGGGGTTTTACTCGGCCGATTTGGGTATTTTCGCGGTTTTACCGCTACAAGTCGTAGTGGTTGTGTGCTTTGTTGATACACTTGAGATAGAATCTCGTGACCTTTGCTCGTAGAGGGATTATATTCTGCAAGCTGTACTGGTCGATCTCCAGCTGGACTCGGATAGGGTTCTCGTTTTAATAGACCCGATGGTCCCGGAGTCGGCTGTGGCGCACTCGCATATTCTTGTGTTTCCCATGAGTGTTGCGGTTGAGGTTGTGCTTGGGGTGGAGGTGGAGGTGGCCGGTACTCACAGTGTTGAGGTGGAGGACAGGCCTGTGGTGGCGGACAGTAGGAGGTTTGACACTCTGGTGGGAGTAACTCGACTCTTTCCTCATATTCTTGTTGAAAGTACTTGTCTACACTACCCGGGCCAGGGCCCGGAGGGATTAACCATTGCAAAGGCGGCGAAGGAGCACGTTTTGCAATGCCTCCAGCTGGTGGACCGTAAAGGGAGGCGCTCGCACTTGAAGCATTGCTGGCATCTTCTGCGCGTGCGCCTGGAGATAACGACGCTTCGTGTTTATGTCGTCGCGGTGAGCATCCTAGCGACAGTTCATCGCCTGGTAATGTACCTGAAGCAAACAAAATTGTACTTGTAATTAAAGCCGTTACATATATTAATAGATAGATTCATTTACAGATGTGATTCAACGTTTGTTATTTCTGGCGCAAAAACAGTAGTTTTAGGTGAAAAATTACCAAAAATATGTAAATTATTAAGCAATTATTTGATACTTGAAATCTATCTACTAGTTACATTCAAATATTAGATAAAAATTAATTTGATGGCACCGTACACTAAAATTAATTTATTATAAACTATATTCCACTACGAATTGTATTCTGTATTTTATTACTACTTCATATTTTCATGTTGTTTGTAGTACCTATACTATTTACGCGATTTAATTTGTACACTTTTATTAGTTTAGTATCTACCTAATTAGTTATTAGTACCAAGGTAATTACAGTTTATATAGGGATATAACTTAAGTGGTTACCAACGTATTGAAGTTAATTTTATAATAAATGCTCTTTATGTATGTATAGGTGTATCTAAGACATATAACATGACATATACCTACACTATGTTACAGTGACGATACTAATAATTTTAAACATTTTTTGTTTTGTGATATTTTGAAATGACTTCATTTTATGTAGGTATATCTTAAAAATAAGGTCATACAATTGATAGATTGATAATAGAAAAGTAGCATAAAATATGTTGCGAATCTAATGCGTAAACTTGTTATGTATAATGGGTATGTATATTGCAATGAAGTATTTTGGTATATAGGTATATCTGGTACCTACTACACGAGTATTAATACGTACATAGTGTATAAAATAGGTTTTATTATTGTATTAATTAAAATTATTGTATTAAATACGCTTTTTTGTTGTAGTTTGGAGGGATCACCGGAAGGCAGCGAAACAGTACCGTGATAAACCACCGGAAACCGATAGCTGTATCGTAATTGTGTATCTGGGCAAGTGTTCATTAAACACAGAGACCGACTGTCGGTTCCATTAAAAAAATTGCAGATTCATATATTTTTGCTTCAGTTTTTATTCGTGTAAAAATACAGTTTTAGTATTATTAATGCTTCTAAATGTAAAATTACTGTGACGACATCTACTTCTAAGTGAGCTAGTGACCACTTTATGGCATTTATTCGTAGTTAAGAAACTTTTGTATATATATATATATATACATATATATAATAAATATTCTATATTTTTAATGTTGCCTACATTTCTTACATAGATTTTGATTCCTATTTTGAAAAATGTTTCCATTAGAGTAGCTATTATAAATTAGATATACTTCTCTAGTATATATAATTATATGTAAATATTCATACGAGATAGGTATTTATTTTCAATTTATAACCATAATTGAGGAAATTTTCTTACTTATTAATTTATAGTATCATAATATATCATCAAATGTAATATGGGTAATAGGTATTATATTTGATGTTCTGCGTTCAATATAGGTACGGGATATTTATTACGGCGAGAATATTTTTTTGAATAGAATAAGAATTAATATTGATATAAGAAATATAAACCTAGTAAATTATATACTGAATGGTACATTAATTTTACTTTTCAAACTGTGTTGTACAAATTGAAAAGTTTAATTATATTTATTATCTATGTAAATAAAGAATGCAGCAATACCTATTTATGTTTAACGTAAAGCATAAATAACTATTGCAGCTTTGTATTACTTAATTGTTAGTTGATGTAATGCACATAACTCGTACTTTACGAAAATTTCAAGTAAAGGCATAAAGACTTACGACATAGGATATATTTACCCCTTTACAATTCCAGTGTATCGATATAATGGTCACTTATGTATAGACTAATATATGTCGCGGTACAAGCACGTAACTAGCACTTGAAACACTTGCCCGTAAACTTAGGTAGAGACGGTAAATTCACAATGAGAGCTCTATTCAACTTTGGTATCGATCCGACCATATGACGCAGGGCGGCGAACTTTCCGTTTCACTTCAATTAATGGCACTGTATATATTTTATATAGGTATAGGTTTTCGAACAAACGCGTTTAAAAATAAAACTTAAACGTAGACAGACACTATAGAAATACACGCGAGAACTAAAAAAAACCGCTCCTCATTTATTTACAACGTAACGTATGATTTGCCGGCGGAGGTGTATCCCGCCTACGTGTGCCGTCGGTATGTGTATCTGGTGTGGTAGGGAACTGGAGACCAGCAGTCTGTGCTCTAGTTAAGCGCACCTGATATAGGTGGTGGTTCAAGCAGGCTCGGAAAGAAGGCGGGCAGGTCCGATGTGGTGACGGGCGTATTTAGGTCGGTCGGCGTGCCGCCTGACGAGATCGTCGGTCCTGCCACCGGTTTGAGCGCGCAGTCGAAGCTTAGGGCTCCCATGTCGGCCAAGGAGAGCAGGTGCGGTCCGGTCGGGGGCTCCGCATCCGTGCCCATCCCGTCCGGCACCACCTGCTCCTCGGCCCACGGGCCGAAAGGAATTACGAACAACGCCAGCGTGAATACGGCCTCTCGCGTGGCCGGTGCGAAGGGGACTGGCGCCGCGCGACCCCGCGTCGCAGTTTTATCAATGGAGCCGCGGTCCCCATATTCGGTAGCGACGCACGCAGATCCACCAATCGCGCCGCGAGTTGCCCCCCCGAGTCTGACGTCACCGCCCGTCGCCGCCCACCGCCCGCGCCGCCCCCCCGGCCGCCCGCCACCCCCCACTGTCCGCTGTCCGCAGCGAAGCCTCCGAGCATGGCACGCTTGCTCACCCGCTTCATTCAACACTGAGAGCGTTAAACATGTGATATACGCCGTATTTACGCTTCATTTACTGAATATTATTACATATCTAGATAATAATCGAATATATTGCTAAGTTTTATTTTCACAAAAGCATTATTGGAATATTAGTTATAAATATTTTTTGTTTTAGTCAGCAAGTATCAAAACTTGTAATAGCAATTATATTTATTTATTGCAATTTTTTGTATAATATGGATAGTTTAACATTGAGTTCACTGTGTGATAATTGTTGTTGATATATGTAAATGGGCAGAATATTAAATATTAGTATCTACATTTAATTAATAATCGGTATCATTTCCATTATACTGCTAGGAATATAATTCAAGTATCTATTATATTTAAATTATATTATGATTAAATTATTTTGTTTTTGTTGTGTGTGTTGTCAAACTTGATTGTGTTGTTCGTGTGAGAAAAATAATTCTCTTTAAAGTCTATTAAATGATATAAAATGAAATAAATACAGGTAGATTGCAGTATTACCTTCACGAATAAATGATGACAGCGACTCTGACATCAACATGGGGTAGACAGGGGCACTGTCAACTATACTCATCTTAGTGTACCTAAACAATATTTGACATGCTTACATGTCGATCGGTATATTTGAAAATTGTTATTATTAATAATAACAATAACCTAGGGCATATATAAACAACCTATCTAGCCATCTACATAGTCTAAGCAAAGCATATGTTATGGGTACTAGACAACTGATATAAATACTTAGATATACTTATTTATGTAAATATATATATAAAAAACACCCAGACGAATACAAACAATCATACTCATGACTATCTACCTACAAATATTTGCACCGTCCGAGGAATCAAAACCGATTAGTTACAATCACTTACAAATAATAATATTAATTATCTATTAGCATAGTTCACCCTTTTTTACCCTTTTGTTTTGTTAGAGGCTTTCTTCATCTTCATGAGGTATGATCTGTTATACTAAATATATTATTTGATAATGGGGACTATATGTAGATCTCATGGCTAATTCCTGGTGTTTATTTTTGTGCTGTTAGTGCAAGCGGGGCCACCATTGCAGCATCATTCAGTAAAAAAATATAGGTGTTGTGTTGTGTTATATGTAGAACTCTGTAGAGCAGTACTACAATTTAGTCAACATAATATATATTGCGTCAAAATAGCAAATATAAATTAGAAGATAACATTAATTAAAATACTATCTGACAGTGTACCTAAATTCATAGTAACTAACTTATATTTAATATTACAAAAAATACAATACCTATAGCTAAATAGCACTAAAATATAGAGCACACACAAAGTCAGTTTTAGAATTCTCTCTGTCGTATACACCAGTTGTCTACTATATACCAGGTTTTATATATCAGGTACTATATACATATACATATACATATACATATACATATACATATACATATACATATACATATACATATACATATACATATAAATATACATATACATATTTGTTTTATTTATTTATTTATATTCTTGTGAAGTCGACTACAGTACCCAAGTCATATACCTATGCCTAAATCCACGTACGAACATAAAGGATTGGGGGTAAATGTTGATTTTAAAATTATTTTATACTAGATCAAACTAATACTAGCACATATATAGTATTGGTCTAGTGTAGTCCATATGGCCTATAGTCATAACTAATGTTGCGGTTTGTCTTTTTTGGTATCCCTTGTAGTACTTACACAAGTATAGTACAATCACGAGTGATGGCATGTATCTAAATTCTACATTATTGAACCATATTCATTGCTACATTGCCATTATATTATATATGTATATATATATAAATACCAAGTTATTTTTTAAATACTAATAAATTAGTACAAGAGTTTGGTAAATATATGTATGTATGTATATACCTTATCTGGTAGTTATTGCTACCTATTTCGTAAGTCTAGAAGTAAGTCGAGAACTTAGTAATCATAAAACGGAATAGCTGTAGGTAATACGGATAGTCCCTGACGGATCTAGCGAACTTTGAAAAAGGGCGAGCACAATAGATCTATGTAGGTCGCAGTGCTACAGGTGCTACAAACATCTGACAATAGCCCAAACAACCCAATAAAGAAAAATACACCAATTAATATTGTTTTTAAAATTGATCTCATTGCGTATTTTAAAACTTACATATTTGACAAAAATTGGCACCTAAAATTATTCTGATTCTCTACCTTCAGCATTCTTGTGGAAAATTGAGAAATTTCT